CCCCGTTATAGACGAAATTTCGCATAGGAACTTGTTCATACGTTTTTCAAATTTATTTCTGGTTCAAAATCAGGTAGAGAATTACTGATTCAACGTATAATTCCTCACTGTGCCCAGTTCTATCCTATATTTCCCACTGAAAACTACATCATGCCAGCATGGACTTGCTGTAACTTCAACACTTCACGGGATGATAATCAATCCATTGTCATGATGAAGGTCAGGTGATGTGCATGAGCCACGGGTCAGTTCAGACCAAGTTGTTGTGAATAAGAGAGATTGCATGTCAGGGGCGTAGGAAGCGGGGGGGCACGGGGGGCACGTGCCCCCCAAATTTTTTTAAAGGACTAAAAGTGCCCTTTTTTGTGATAAAAAGTGCCCTTTTTGTGTTGAAAAGTGCCCCTTTTGTAGAAGCTAATGTCGCTGTAAATACTAAATTAAAACAATAGGTGCCGTTTTTGTGTGGAAATTTACAATTTTTTTTAAAAAATTAGGTCACAAACATAAATTTCGGTATGATACGACGGAAAATTTTCCTCAGGAGAACAACTTGTTCCAGACTTGTCACAACAATTGGGAACAAGCAGTGCGAACATATCTTAGCTTACGCCACAAAACTACGCACTCTCTAGTACAAATTCTCAATACAACATAGCCGTAGGACAAACGGTCTGTTTCAAATACGAGACATTACATTAAATACGCCTGACGCATCGGAATATGTTCGTATTATTAGCATTTATCTTGAGTTCTTGAGCCTTAACCACTCTGAGTCTTATTATCGGCCATTAGTTTTAAAATGTCTGCCAGTTCTCGAGAAGTCAGTTTTGGATCGCCACCTGCAACTTCAACTGAGACGATTTTCGTGTTCATTGGATCTTTACATGTTTTCACGTTTTTTTCTTCCTTCGTCGAATTTCTATTCTTGATCTGGATTTCTCGCAATGGAACCGGAGAGGTAGACATATTCTTGTGCTGTCCAAGATGTGTAACACTCAAACAGGAAAAAGTTTGGGAAAATTTGTAATTTTGCAAATCATACATCGACAGGTACCGTACGCGCAGGCATGTGCACCTGCTGACAAATTTTATGGTCGGCAATTCTTCGATAGGGGTGTGGTGGAGGAGGGGGCGGGAGGGGCAGTGGCGTACCCATAGGGGTGGCTGCGGCGGGCACTCTGCACCCACGACGACCTTCAGAACTTGTGAGAAAGTTAAAATTCAGGGAATTCAGGACCCCCCCCCCCCGAAAAAAACTATTTGGTAATTTACCATGACGCAAGCTCAACATTGAGTTTGGCCACATGATTCAATATGGAATTTATCAAATCAAATAATAATTTATTCAAGATACAGAGATACAACTTATTGTAATACCAATGTTCTTGCAGGAGAACCATGAGGTTGACCCTATTCGAGTAGTTTCCCTTACCTACACTAAATCTACGTTAAAAAATATTTATCAAATATCAGTTCCTAAGAGTACATGTCCATATGCTCTTTCAATTTTTTATCATAAGGGAATGAGAATTTTGTATAGAGAGAAAGGTAGTCTTGACCAGTTGCGTCCTTATATTTGATCGCTCATCGAGTCTCGTGCACTTTCATCCACTATGATATGAGCTGGTTCATTTGTCTGGGGCATGCGGGTTAAAAAAACCTCTCACGCAAACTCTCGCTTGCAAACTCTAATCAACTCTCATCCTCGTCAACTTCGTACTCAGGCATGCCCGCCCGATTTTTTAATTAAAAAATCAGGCGGGCAGGCCCTGGGTACGAGGTTCGGAAAGTTCAGAAATAAATTCACACAAGTACATTTTTACCCGATAATGAATCTGTATTTTTACCCAACACATATATAATTTATTAATTTAATGAGAACACAACATTCAAATATGAAGTTCGGAACTAGAAATCTAAGATAAAATAATTTAAATAAATTACAAATTAATTCATGCGAACAACTTTCAGATCAAGTTCAATTAAATAAAATTCTTAGACTTTATGTTTCTACAACGTTATTCGTGAATTTCAAGTGATGCACCGATATTGAGTCAGCCCTAAATTAGTAATATTCACTAGTATTTATGAAAGTGAAATCAACTCGATAGTTGACCAAAAAATATGGAGTTTTGATATTATATTCAACGGAATGACGTCATAACGTTGATATGGTTAATACTAAACGCTATGACGTCACGCCAATGACTGCCGAAGGAGCGTGGAATTTTACACGGCTAAAAACGCACAGGTTGTTGCAAGTTGATATCGACAGGCGTGAACAATGTTGTGCGGCCAACTATGAACAAGTTGTCAACCATGTTGTTCCAAGTTGTTACAGTTGAACAATGCTGCAACATGTTGACAATACTGTTCATAGTGGGCCGCACAACGTTGTTCACGCCTGTCGATATCAACTTGCAACAGGTTGTTGATTTTCTCAATTTTTACGCGTGTATCACAACACAAATGTTGTCCTGCCACCGGCCATTGTTTCTTCAATAAAACAATTACTGAATTCTGTTTTTGCAATGTATTAGGAATTGTCAATTGTCAAGGCCTCAGTTTGTGTTATCAACTTCAGCCTTCGGCTTTATCGAGTTTCTCACTTATTGGTAAGCGGATTTCCTAACAGAGTATCGCCCTAATTGATAGGGGATTCAAGGTTTTGACGTCCTTATCAGAGAAGACACGAAAGTCCTGGGCAAACTAGGAAACATTGTTGCAGAAACATTGTTTCCTGCCAATGTTTCGCCATGTTTCTCAGAGTGGGCAAACACCGCAACAATGTTTCCGGGGGGGGGGGGGCAAACAGGGAAACATTTGAGGAGGAAACATCGAGAATCACAAATGTTTCCACAACAATGTTTCCTAGTTTGCTCAGGGTTTAGCCATCTAATGATGTCAATGTAAAGGAAGCTCTTTCTCCTCAATTATTTTAAGACCTTGAGTAGAGGTCCGACCAAGGATTGAACCTGGGTCTCCCAGCTTGAAAGGCAAGCGTGGTGACCACACCACAAGGGCTGGCTTTGGAGTGATAACACAGACTTCTGACTTGATCATTTTTCATATCATGCTCAACTTCAATGAATAATTTAATATCGGTGAATTTCTGCATCAGTGCATCACTATATAATTATTTAACAAATTGTTATTATTTTTTAACAAAGTGTTTGTTCAATTTGACGAGTCCTCTCAAACGGGACAAAGTTCATTTTGAACTAAAATTTTCATTTTTTTATTGTTCGTCACTATTTCTATTGGTAGACTCCGCTGGTCGACAGCACCTAACTCGGCCAAGTCCTCCATACACTTCGGCCTGTAGCTTGCTCCAGTTAAAGACCTCTCCATCAATTGTGATGATCTCAGACGTTGCTGAAAAAGGCTCGATCCTGAAGGCACGTGCTTTAAGCATGTACACACCATTTACACTTGCGTGTTCACCACGTTCCATTTTTCCTAACGTGTTTATGAGATCTGAGCGAGACATGTCACCATTTAAACACATACAATGAATAATACCATCGCCTAAGCTTCCTTCTGGTGCACAAAACATGCTCTTACCAATATGAGTTGTGCTTACAAATACCCAACCAACAAAATCATCTTCGATAACATTCCAAGATTCTGGAATCGGTTCATGGAAATTGGGCATAAATTTATTGGGGATACCACTGGCTAGATTAACACTGCCTAAAATACCATTGCTCGCATTACCATGATCTAATTTTCCACCATTATCTAATTTTTCACCCTTCAAATTCGAGATTTCATCGCTAGATGGTTGTTCTGATTTTGATTTATCCAAAGTACCATCGTTCAGAATACCATCGCCCAAATTACCATCCTTCAAATTATTATCCTCTAATTTCCCATCCTCCAAATTCCGTTGCTCTTCACTACCGTGCTCTTTGCATTTCGATGTACCATCAGAAAGTTCGACAGTTTCATCACCACGAGAACTACAAGTACTACTAGCACCGTTAACACAATCACCATTTTCCACTGGAAGATACGAGAGCTTGCCAGAGAAAGTTCGTTTCTCTATAATCTTCTTGAGAGCCATGACAGAAAAGCGTATGTCCCCCACTTTACGATATTTCTCGGACTCAATATCAACATCTGATACAATGCCAAAGACGATGCATAGGAAAGAATAATGTACCTCTGGACTTTGTACTTTTACAATGTCCAAAGGCCATTCTTCGCCTCTTAGCACTGTAAATATTGAGCTTATCATATCGAATGGTTCACTAGAAAATATATACTTTCATTAGGTCAAGTGCTTCATATAGTTTACCCATGGCAGTCAGCTTAACACACAACAAATGATGAAACGTTTATACGACGAATTTGATAGGAGAATAATCCCTGTTTTGAGCCGTATCCGGAAAAAAGGTAGGTAGAAACTTTGTATCCGGAAAAAAGTAGAAACTTTATATCAGGAAAAAAGGAAGAAACTTCATATCCGGAAAAAATGGAGAATATTTGTATCCGATCTTTGTATCTCTGTATTATTAACAGAGAGTATTCACTTTTTAATGGACAACTTGCATGTTAGACTAAATTCTAATCCAAGTAAAAAGAAGGGAATCAAACACCACAGCTAAAAAGAACACAATGAAACTCGCAAACTTCGCAAGGCTATATTTTCCGTATTTTACAACATCTCGTAACCAAATTTTGCAATCTATTTTACTAATTTTAATAATACGTTCTTTATGGGAATTTACTTTTTTTGCCAAGATCAAAAATTATTCTAATATCCAAGTTGTCTATTATCCGACAACTGAATTCATAAAAGTTTTTGGGCATTTCTAGTTAAAACTAAACTCAACCAAACAGCACATTCAAGTTTTCCCTGCAAGGTATTCCAATTTCTTCTTGTAATAAATACACTAGTAGAGCAATAAGGAATACATGGTCCTAATTACTCCTTACTCCTTACTGGCCGACCAAAGCGAACAGTTTAGAACAAGTAAATGTAGCTAAAATACGTTACCCAGAATGATACAATGAAGAGGCACACAGTCCATTCCCTGAACCACAAGGTATATGACCAAATGGTGTCTTAATGGCTTCTTGCCAATCTGGACGACTCATCAAACCATTTATTACCTACAGTATAGACATTGGAAGAATGACTTTCAGATCAACTATATGGTAGCACAATTGTATGGGCATATACGTTGTAATCTCTCGAGCTGTGTCGATACAACGGATACATCAGAGTATTTTTGTAATTATAATATCATATCAACAATTGATTAACTTCAAATTCAAGGGAAGTTAAATTATTTTTGTATATTTCTCAAAAATGGATGGAAATTTTGGAAAAAAGAGGGAAATTTTTAGTGATTAAGAGAAGGAAATTTTTCTATTGTTGAAACGCTGAACAATGCAAATTGGGCAAATTGACGGACACAAATTGCCTGTCAAAACACTAGAAATCATGTAGTTGTACTGGTCAATGACCATGACAGTGTGACCTGACGCTTATTTCCAGGTTAAGGATGCTTGCAGCTTGACACAAACATACCACTGTAGGTTTTAGGGGTGCACCGGAACAAATTTTTAAAGTTCCGGCCTGAACCGGATCTGACTGGAACTGGAAAAAGTACATACATCCGGCCATTTTTATTAGTTCTAGCCGGAACCGGAATTCTGAAAAATCGGGGTTCCGGCCAGAACTAACTGGCCAGAACCAAATTCCAGTGCACCACTGTAGGTTTTCATCAAGAACACCTGTTTTTACCTCATTAATGATTCCATCACCACTGCAACATACAATACAATCAAACTTCTTGAAGTCTTTCATATTTTGGACGATTTCTTTAGCATGACCCATGTGTTCTGACAAACAAGATTAAATTATACAGTTGAAAAAATGCTAAATGGGAGGGGGTTAATTGTCAAAAATAATAATTAAGGTGGGACCATGATTACCTTATCATATAAATATACATTTTTAACCAATTAACTGCAACTTTATGAGAGGCAGTATTTTCTATGTCGTATATATTTGCAATGAAAAATGTTAAAAAAGCAAAATCTGGTATGCATGACCAAAATTACTTCGCTTTAGTGAACTACAATTCTGGTCAAAACCATCTGCAACACTCTATTAAAACATTCCTCTGTGGCATTTTTTTTACTATTAGGCTGGCGACTCATTTCCCCCACTCCCCTACCCTTGGTATAGGGGTAAGAGGGAGGTTTTTCTAAATTTGTAATGTTACAAAATTTGGTCAACTAATTGGAAGTGTTGTGCTGATGTTTTGTCCAGGATTGTAGCTTTATTTTGCAAAGGTGGGTAGTAGTGAAGTAATTGTAGTTCGCTACTGTAGCGAACTACAATTTTCAAGTAGCCAGTAGTTTTTGACTACTTTTTCAAAACAGTAGCTGTAGTTATAGCGAACTACATTTTGCCTAAAAGTAGCCAAGTAGTTGACTACTTTTCAAACAGCGAATCGCTATTCGCTACTTTTCAAAATTGTTAGCAACTTGATAGAATAGCATGATATTGAGACATGGTTTGCTTTTAAAAAATCAATACTCAATAGTCATTTGCACTCCTGAACACTGTAGTGCTTACAAAAATGTTGCTTTGTGTTTATTGTTGCTACTCATAAGTCGATTTGTTATAGGTTACATTTCAGCCTGAGTTAGTATAGATGCTCTAAATACAGTAAAACTAAAAAATATGGCGTAGCGAAATAGGCCACTACATTTTTTAAGCAGTAGCTGTAGTCAGTAGCGAACTACCTTTGTTCAAAAGTAGCAGTATAGTTGTAGCTGACTATACATATTTTTGAAGTAGCTGTAGTTATAGCAAACTACAGAAATTTTGTAGTCAACCCACGTACCCTTGTTATTTTGTAGTTTAAACAGTTAGCTAAGCAGTTAGCAAAGCAGGGGGACAGTTACCTGTGACTATCAGCTCATATTGAACATCAGCTTCTTCTAACATTGGTTTGACTTTCTTTTTAAACAAGTTCATAGCAGACCCCTTGCCACCAAATGGGTTGATGAAAATGAGAAACTGCTGTCTCGGTGGATTATCTATATTGTAAATCAGAAATAATTTGATGTCTATCCTTTCCTGTGAAATATTCTGGAGACAATTAAGTAATTAGAATAACAAATTACAGTAACCATGTCAAATGCCAAATGACAATTTAAATGTGTTTGTTTACTTTTCAAACATGAACATTCACTGACAAAATGCGCATCTCTGAATGGCAAAGGCGCAAAGCTATGTTTAAAATCTTAGGTTTTCAATTTTTGTAGCAAAGTGTAAATATGCTTTTGATCCTTACAGCCAATCGATGTTTAATTGTAATTGTTATCAAGAACCGGATTGGCTGTTTAAAAAATTAGAATTGTAAACATGCAAAAATGTGTATGTGCGGTCATGGCCGTTTGTAGGAGTGGCGGCGATACAAATTTTTGATGTGATTTTCCACAGTTTGGCGAGTTCTGTAATATACCTTTCATTCGATACAACATCACATATATTCCAACATCAAACCTGACACGTTTGGCATTCAACATTTGAAACATAAACATATGCAATAAAATAATCAAGCTGCAAGGTTTGTCCTTAACCCTTTAAGTAGCAATGCACCCTGATGCACCCTACTTTAGTATTTTACTCTCAGTCTAATGTCAGGCGATTTTACTCGTCAAGTGAAGAGTGCTGCCACTCATTCCACTCAATGGGTTAATTATAGTGCATTACGTCCATATTTGAAGTTGCCATGCAAATTATCAAATCAACGTTTTTATTACCTATATGTAGCCAGGGGTAGGTCTAGCCTCATCTGCAAGGATGGGGTGGTGAGTGAAGGAGCCTACGGCATGCCCACTCTCCTCTGCAGTCTGCAATGCTATTATCCCAACATTACCATTATTTGAGAAGGCTGCATCTGCATGTTTGCTGTTCTGTTGTGTTTCACATCATGTTTTGTTTATAAAGTTTATATTCATTGGCTTTTTATTGACAATACAATTGCTATAGCACAGTACAGTACAGTATAATTGAAAGTATGGATGTATATAACAATGTTGACATGTTTACATATTTAACCATGATTAAATAACTAAAGCATTCTGAGTATTTTCTCCTGAGCTCACAAATCAATTAAATCGTTTCAAGAAATCCACACACACACTAACAGTAGAGGATCAATTGAAAAGCAGAAAATATATGGTGGTCAAGCAGATTCCTTTATGGTGGCGCTACGCTTCTCTAGGGGGTGCTAGACACCACTAGGTGGGGGTGCACACCTCCTGCACACCCATGCTAGATCTGCCCCTGTCTATAGTATAGCTTGAGGCAAGCTTTTTTTAATATATTAATTTTGCCAGGGTGAAATTTGTGAAAACTTCACAGAATAATAATTTTGACCCACCTACCCACCCACCCGCCCGCCCAAAATGTTAATTTGTTGCACAGGCAAAATTGCATTTTGAATGGTTTTTATTTTTCGATTTCAGGTAACTTTTCAACACGCTGTTCCCAAGTTTGTTGCGAACTTGCCAATTATGTTATCAAGTTCGGCATGAACTTTGCAACAAAGTTCGCAAATTCATTTCAAAGTTCGGACTTTGATTGTAAACAAATGTTTATAGTTGAAGTTGAAATTATTGTATAAGGCCCTATGTACATATTTATACTGCAGTAAAATATTGGTCCAGTGGTCTCCCAAGACAAAAATGCCTTTTTACAGTCAAACCGGATGTTCTCTTGTGAGCAATATTGCAATATTGTCCCACAATTTTGCAATTTTGATAGTCAGATTGCTCTGAGCAATTTGCATCCGACGCGAACAAATTGCAATTTGAAATTCACAAGAGATTAGTAAACAAAGCCTCTGATTGGACTATAAAAAGGAGGAAGCACCAATCCAGTTGCTCAGACTATTTGATTGGCTTCCCTCTTTCTTATAATCCAATCAGAGGCTTTGTTTACAATTTTTTTGTGAATTTCCAACTTGCAATTTGTTCGTGTCGGTTACAATTTGCTCAGAGCAATCTGCCTATCAAAATTGCAACATTGTGGGACAATATTGCTCGCAAGAAAGCATCCGGTTTGACTGTAAATAAATTGATAAATGAAATTTGTACATTTGTTTACAATCGAAGTTCGAACTTTGAAATTAACTTGCAAAATTTGTTGCGAAGTTCCCGCCCACGTTCCGAATTTGATAACGTAATTGGCAAGTTGACAACAAACTTGGGAACCACGCTTTGAAAAGTGATCTGAAATCGACAATAAAGAGTTACCAAGTACAATTCATAGCAAAACTTTTTCTATTCATCAAAAAACTGAATTCTTACTGTTTTTGATTATAAATTTTCCAAATGATAAATACCATTACGTTTAATTATTTACCATTAACTGAACTTTAAATATTTCTCTGTGAAGAAATCATTGACCCATGGTAACCTTTCAATTAATATTCACAAGCATTTTAATAATTCAGGCTAAAACTATAGTTATAAACGCAATGTGGTCTGTACTGATACATTTACAAACTCACCTGCCGGAAAACACAACTTAGAATCAATATTAACCCTAATGTAACCAGCTGAATAACCTTTATATAGGCATATTAAAAGTATATATATTTATAGCCAACGTCAATAGTTATTACATTTTCAAATAAAATGTATCTAACGTGCATACTATGTACTATTTCAGGAATATGCCACTTCAGAATATAAACAGATCATGACTTTAAAAATATATCAATGACATTTTCTGGGCAGACCCAGTCCAAGCTAAAATACAGCACAATTCTAGGCATAAACACGTAGAAAAACAGAGCAAAAGTCATTAATACAAACCTTCGCGTGTTGTTGCCAAATTTATATCAGAATTTTTTACCAAAAGCCATTTAATACATCGAACCCATTTTTCAGCGATCTCTAAATTTGCGACAGAACTGTCCTTGCCCGAAACAGCAAACACATGCTCGAGTCTCTGCCTTTTTGCTGTCGTAGAAAGCACTCTTTTCTTTAAAGGATATGAATATATATGAATATAAGCCGATTCGATGTCATTGCCTGTGTGAAGCTGTCTCGCTGTGGCTCCTATAATATCCTCCAATTTAATTTTTTGACTAGTTTTCGTCGAATTAGATTCGTAAGTGATTGAATCGCTTGTTAAGCTGACAGTAAGGTTTGTTTTAAAGCCGGGACCAAGAGAAAAATCGTCTTTAAAGTATAAATTTGTTTGTACGTTCATCTTGTCGTATAAAATTTTGTTCTTTGTACGAGATTTTGAAGCACGAAAAAAAACATCTCATTCACGTGTCAAAGTCCATGCGTGCTTGCTGCACGAACACGACACGTTTATTTCGTTCGCACGCACTTCCAAAACGTTTTACACTCAGCGCCCTGGTTTTACAGTATTTCAAGCAATTTTACAGCTTCGGAAATTAAATAACTGATAGAATATGATCTAACTTTGAACAATTTATGGATGCGAGGCAATGAATGAAAAATTTAATTCAAAGAGCCCAATTTGTTGTGAGAAGTATTAAAGCAATGAAAAACGAGGTCAAAGGTCGAGGGTTTTTGTTATCAACCTATACAATCAGGGATGTCGCGAAGGGGAAGGTAAAAAAATATTTCCGGACTAACACAAGCATAGTCAAAACAATTTTCCGGACTAACATCATAAACATGCTCAAAAAAATTTTTCCGAACTAACATAAGCATATTCAAAATTTTTCGACCAAGATAAGTAAAGCTTCCAATTTTTTCACCGCGACATCAAAAAAGCCTTAAAATTGCGAACCATCATTTCATAACTTTGACCTAATTCGACCATCTTTTATTCCAAACTTTTACCAAATTTTTCCGAGTTTTACCTTCAATTTTATGCAAATATCAGTTTCATTTTGACCAACTTTGGGCAAATATCAGTTCCATTTTGACCAACTTCGACCAACGTTTTAATTATTGGGGTGGGGGTGTACCCTCCCCCCCTCCCTCATATAGCTACGTCCCTGAATACAATATTCATCAGTTATCAACAAATACATGACAAACAAGTTGTGATAACACAACAATTTGTTACACAATTTATTTATTCCATCGTAGCTGAACAACGATGTGTTAATACAACTGCGATTTGTCGAACCGATTTTGGGTTTTGTTGCATCCTAAATGAAAGAATATCATCAAGTAGACGGCAAAATTGGCTCGATAAATCGCAGCGTGTAAGTTGTATCTCAAACAGAATTTGAATCAATATTTCCAGAACAGGGGTGGACTTACTGCAAGAGTGCGGGCAGTGGCGTAAATCTCGGTGGGGCGGGGCCGGCCGCCCCCCGCCTTCGTGGAAAATGACGAATTTTCGGAAATTTTGACCTTTACAGTAAAAAGGCTAAAAACAGCCTTTTCGAGTGTAAATGGGGGGGGGAAATTTGGAAAGTTTTGTCGGAAATTTAGAAGGCTTCGCCCCCACCGGAAAAAGTAATTTCCGCCACTCAGGTGCAGGGGCTGGTGCGGGGCTGTCAATGTCTTTATTAACTCAATTCTTAATTTGAAAAGGCAATTACCAAAAAAATCAAAAGTCATGAGATGAGATGGTAACATAATTGTGAAATTGTCAAGCAAGACTACAGATTAGTTCCTTGTTGCTGTAGTTTTCCCTTGCAATTACACACTTGGTCAACAGTCTCACTCTGAACCATGACCAAAGATCAATGACCACCACCTCCCCCACCTCCCACAACAGATCTTGCTGGTCCACCCCTGTTCCAAAAAGAAACTGCACCCGACAATCACTCAAAACTACTAACAGGTTTATAAAGAATGCCATTGTGGTGAGCCGCTTGTAAATAGTGACCGAATTTTGTGAACTGATTTTTGACAAATTCAACACCCGCTTGTTAAAATGATAACAGAATATCTATTCTAAATATAGTATTAGTCGTGGGCAAATCGCGGCGAACTTACATGCAAATGTATATAAAAGAAAATCATTAAAATTTCTTTAAAAAATCCTTGATAATTCATGAAGGAATATTCAGACGAAACGAATGTTTAAAACTTGATTGGGGGACTGGAAACCCCTCCCCCCGACACAACTTTGGGGAAGTATATAACGAAAAAAAATTTTCTTTGGTCGGGCAATTTAATAAAAATCGGGCAAATTTTTGTCCCGGCCGCCAATTTGTCCTCCAGTACGCCTATGCTAAGATGCATTTGTATTTTAAGTAATATAAAGCATTCGCATCCGATATGTGACAGATTTACTACGGCTCGCCTTGTAAATGAGATAGAGAACCAATAATATGGCATCGAGTTATCGTTCCAGTTCCCTTTATAGAGTTCAATGGTTTCATCGTATTTAAATTAATGCAATGATCCCGTAGGCTGATGTCGACGAGACAGTCGACGAGTAAAGGGATGGCCCCCACTGGTGACTAGTTACCATGGCTTTTGTTTTCACTTTCTGTACTAAGCATGATAAAAATTTAGCTTATAGTTCTAGTGAATATTACTGCATATAGAGGTCGCAGCTAGCTGGTCATATCCTCAATGGCTATGCTGCTTTCGTCATATATCGTTACAGTAAGATATTCCCGTATTCTATTCTTTATTCTTTCAATTTTAAAACTTTCCCAATTGCAACAGTCTTTCCTAAAAATACAAAGAAGTGCGTTATATTTACAGGAAGTATATCAGTATAAATATGTTAAAACAAAAAAAGTATAATTTAGGTCATGTCGAGCTGTTCAGAAGACTTTCTCCAATTAGAGAATTAGATGAAAGTTTTCTACAAAACGAAGCTGTCTCGTTGTTCTCAAGGCGACTAAATTTCCCTTCGATACCACTAAAGCATGACCAGATTTTGAGGGGAGGTGTGGGGAGGTGCGCCCTCCTCTGAGATCGTTTTGCACCTCCCCTGAGAATTTTTGCACCTCCCATGAAAATTGAAAAGTCATGCACTCATGCCCTCCCCTTGGGAAAGTTTCAATGATAGATCAAAGTGAAAATTTGATATTGTTTGGTTGCTTAGGGTCTACAAGGTTTTTCTGTAAAATTGAAACTGCGATGCCATTCATCTCTGTGTCAAATACCTTTTTAATGCAATGTTTTGATATAAAATATGTACACTACATGCATACGTTATGTTGTTGATTTTGGCCCGTTTTTAAGCCCTAACTTTCCATAGGGATCGTGACCTAGAAACACTATTTCCACCAAAATCCGGCCTTGCACTGAGGACAGTTCATGACCTACCTTCGTCTCGAAGAGTGAATCTTCCCATTTGAGGAAATTCTGCAAACGTTTCCATACATACTATGCCCGCAGTCTGAAATTTAGCCACGCATATCTGATCTTGTTTTACAAATCTAAAGTACAAAATTGAGAAGGAGTTGTTTACCAAAGAGGCCAAGTCATTGTGACCGAAGTGAAATAGTCTCGGTCTATCTTATATGAAAACTACACATGCAAAAATCTCACATCTTGTAGCAAATCTGCTAACAAGCCGTCAACAAGTTGTGTTCGCACTGCTTGTTCCAAGTTATCAACAAGTTTGGAACGAGCTGTTAACAACTTGTAACAACCTTGCCGATATTATCAGACTTGTTGCAAGGTTGTTCTAATAAGTCCGATACAGTCATGATATAACAATATTGTTAAACCTTGTGTCATCAAACTTGTAACATTCTTGTTATATCATGACTGTATCAGACGTGTTAGAACAATCTTGTAGCGAGTCTGATAATGCCATCAAGCTTGTTACAGGTTGTTAACAGCTTGTTCCAAACTTGTTACAACAACTGGGAACAAGCAGTGCGAACACAACTTGTTGACAGCTTGTGAACAGATTTGTAACAACTTGTTTGCAGACCTGTAACAACTTGTGCGTTTTTACGTGTGTAAGTGAAAGTCAGGCAGGACACTAAATTTAAACCTTACCTTGGATGTGTTTGACTTTTCTTTCCAGATTTTTTATCTATCAGTGCTATTATACCCTGCAAGAGAAACAATGATTTAAATATGAACTTTTTTACACATGGTGTTTTCCAAGAAAATGAAACAATTCTTGGTTCCACCAGATGTCATTAACTTTTTTGTGTGCCTGCGACCACACAAATTATTTGAAAATGTGCCTGCAAAATGCCTTCATGCAACATGCGAAATCACGACGTGATGAGTCATCAGCCATGAATTACTATAGATGCCAATCAATACGCTGGCTTATATGTAACGAGTTATGGCTTTATATATTTTTGGCCCAAGAAATCGAGAATTTTAATCTCGGAGCTTCAGAGAGTGCACCGTGCACTGGTAGTTGTTCTCTAGAAATTTTAACTTGTCAGTGTCTCTATCAACGAAGATTTTAATTGACTAATAGTAACAGATAGGAAAATACATAATAAACTAAGAATTATAAAATTTATTTTATAACTTCTGGTTTCAAACGTTTTAAAAAATGTGCCTGCAAGAAAGTTGTTTTTGAAATGTGCCTGCGACCATCGGTCCCAGCGGTCTTCACTTTAATGACCCCTGGGTTCCACATCCTATATACAAAGAACATATCTATTCATGACTCGCAACAAAGTACATTGAGTTTTACTATACCAGTAACGTTACTTCCTCCACTACATTATGTATGTGTAATATACAACTGTATCCAGGACAAATTATAGATTTATGTTCCAGTATTACGACCTAGAGACAACAAGAAAATAAATCAAAATCAAATTACTGTATCCTTTCAGGGCATCTTTATATACAGGGGGGAGCCATTTTTAAAAGTGCTTGACGTCATATCCTTTTCAGAAAATGGATTTACGAGTGTTCAGAATACATAATAAAATGTGGCTAATTTGACTAACTAAATTAATATTTCATATAATTACATGCAACAGAAATCACATTACTTTGACAGCAAAGTGACACTAATATATGATGACGTAAACGGATTTCTGGAACGAAATCTACAAACTACTTACCAAGGCTCGAAGTAGACAAAAAATATGGCCTGCCAGTCTAAACATTTTTTGCAGGTGAAATAAATTTTAGGCTGCCATTTTTATTCATTGAACTGCCAAAATGGCGATGTCTCATATGAGTCATATTGTAAAAATCAATGTTTTCATGATATGCATTTTTATTGTTTTTAAACTTGTCTATTTTACTACAGTAAACTTGGATTTACATTTCAAATGTAAACGTATTTAGTCAACTAAATTATGAGTTGTGGTATGGAAATGAAATATATCTATATAATTTCATCTGCCATTTTTTTTGCTTTGGCAGTTCAAATTTGTTTTTGCCTGCCATTTCTAAAATATGGCCTGCTTTTGGCCATTGATGCTATTTCGGCCATGCTACTTACTATGGCGCTTCTTACTTTATATAAATTGATGTAATAATATGACTATCTAATTCCATATAAGATACTGTATCGGGTGACTAAATTTTTCGAATACTATAGGTCTGGAGTAGAACCGCATTATTCCAAAGATATATCTAGCTCATGCAATCACTGATAAATCCTGAAATTAAGGCATATCTTACAACAAACTAAACATTTATCATTAACGTGAAAGCTTTTGAAAACGTAACGAATCCAGATACGTGTGCACGCCAGTGCGTGCTGAAATTTTTTGAAAACGTTTTGAAACTTTTTGAAAACGATAATATAATCAATGAAATTTGAGACCTGCGCTAGCTTAGTTCGGTTTTATATATACCTGTGCATTAAATGTTCTGACAGTATGACATAGTGATGAAGGATCACAAAGGACAAACCCTGGCGATATATCCTGAAATGAAACAAATAAAGCAATTGTTCATACTGTGCTAAAGGGGCTATAAACAGCAAAATCTATTGTTCAGGTCAAACGCGAAACAAAAATCTAGAGGTGTACTCAGATGTGCATCTCCAGAAATCGGAAAGTTAAACCTACTTCTTCCTCGACCCCTTTTAATTTCGCCTTGACATTCTCGCCGCAATATGCTTGCGCCGTTTCATAATCATCTGAAAATAACGTCATTACTTCCACGGACACCTGACAAGGGATTAACCAATTGCGTCTGTTAACCACACTTTACGAGTTCTTAAAGGGATATGGCCACTCTCCTCCGCAGAGTCTGAATTATATAGGATTTGTAGGGATAATGTAGGGATAGTAGAGGACATTTAGTGGTGCGCGACGGGGGGTGGGGGTGAGATCAGAGTTAATGGAGTGGGGTGAGATCGATGGTTGACAAAATGTAACGAAGCTTCCGTCTTCCCATCATACCTAGCGCGTTTAACTAACAATTACGTAATTTGTTTCCCAAGTAATATAATTCTGCGGAGGAGAGTGGGATATGGCAATACAAATTAACTTTGTCTTATTTGAAAAATTAAACTTAAAGTTTATGTGAATCAGCATGATTTCTGTATCAGATGTATAACCCCTTCACGCTCATGATTTCTTTTGTGTTTTCTTCATGAATTATTAACGAGTTTCACAGTTGAGTCTGCTGAGCTCCACAAACTTGTAGCAAATTGTCAACAAGCATGTGAACACATCCTGTTGACAAGTTGTTGGTACAGCATTGCTACAAGTCCGCTTACAGCTAATCTCACAACTTGTCAACAAGATGTGTTCGCAACAGGCTTGTAGCAAGCTTGTCAACAAGTTGTAACGATGCTGTTATTGTATCAAGTTGCTACAAGGTTGTCACTCGTAAATAACTTGTAACAAGTCTGTTGAGCTCAACAACTTTGTAGCAAATTGCGAACAAGCCGTCAACAAGCTGGGAACAAGCAGTGCGAACACATCCTGTTGACAAGTTGTTTGAACAGCATTGCTATAAGTCTGCTGCAAGTTTGTCACAACTTGTAACAAGCCTGTTGGGCTCAACAACCTTGTAGCAAATTGCCAACAAGCCGTTGACCACTTGTCAACAAGCTGGGAACAAACAATGCGAACACATCCTGTTGACAAGCTATTGGAACAGCATTGCTACAAGTCTGCTGCAGGTTGTGCAAGTGACTCACTCACAACTTAATGAAATACAAGTTCACAACTATCAGAAGTCGAAACTTATTTTAGCATTTGTCACGCGTTACTTTACGGGCACTGAATTACTGTATGATATAAGTCAGTTGGCAATACCTTATTCGGCATTAGCATTAGATTTTGTCCTTTTGATATCATCCCAGACTCTAATTTTCCTAGAATCATGGTGCCCATTTCTTTATATTTCTCAGCCACTGGTAACCGTACGGGACCAGAATTGGATCGTTGAAGATTCGGTAGCTCATCGATATAAGTCAGAAATGGTTTCCCGCTAAAAAGAATTACCATATATGTTAGTTCGAATTATATAACCTAGACCCAGAAGTGACAGACACGAGGGGTGAACGAAGTGGGGCTACCACCCACCTCGTAGGACGAATAGGATCTTAACATTGGAACGAATAACCACTGCGTCATTTTTATTGCCAATTCCTTTTAAATCAAATGACTTACCTATACCATTTACAAACATTGGGATCAAGTTCCTCTTTTATATTCGCACCGGTTAAACCCGAACATGGCATAAAATGCATATCTAAAATTACAACCGAAAATATACTCTTAATTACTTTTTCGTCTTGTAATTAGCAGTCTTTTGCCTCTTAAAATGTCTTAGACTTTTCAGTCTTAACACATCAGGTTGCATTGTTGACTAATTAGAGACCTTACGATTTTAGGACGGCAACGGCTACCAATACAATAGATCATTGAAAAGAATTGAATAATTACAATATATGAATAATTTAGACATTGCCCTCGCTCTGTTTACAACGCTAAATCACAGATTTTCACGTCTTGATACAACGGCTGCATTTCAAGCCGCAACAAGTGCAACTTCGAACTGGGTTTAGCAGAACTCTTCCCAACCATAAAACCCATGTCTTCTTCTTCTTCAGATTGATAATATACGACGAACTATTTTTACTACCATTTATTTGAAAGAGTTTGTTTTGGCTGTCGCCGTCGTGTTACCGTCCTAAAATCGTAAGGTCTCTAATGCCGAGACACACCGGACGGCGGACGCGATTCGATAACGCGGCGCGATTTTTCAATTTTCACTGACCGATAACTTTGATCCTGGTTTAAGTTTTTCAAATATTTAGAAGCGCTATAACATTTCGAGTTTTTTGGTCTACATACCTTCTAAAATTTCCTTTCATTGGCTGTTTTATTACCGCTCAAAAACTGAAAAGTCGCGCGGCGTTGTCGAATTCCGGTGTCATGGTCTCGGCCATAATGCACCTATACTTTATTATTTTACTCTGCTAATGCCAGACGATTTTATTCGTCAAGGGGAGAAACGCTGGCGCTCAAGGTGTTAATCAGACTATCTGCCCATGTGTCTAGTTAACCCACGCATTGAGTTGCATTGTGCATAATGCGCCTATTTCATTATTTTACTCTGTCTGATGCCAAACCATTTTACTCATCGAGCGGAGAGCGATGGTGCTCAACGAGTTAAGACTGCTTTTCAAACTGTGATATAGAAAGTTGAAACCAAGAAAATCGAGTAACTCCAAATATAATTTTTGGTATGTGTAATATTTGGGTCATTCTGAGAAAAAATGAAATGTGTCTTTATAATAAAAAAACCTCATCTTCATCAAATTTTTCACTGTCAAAGTTCCAGATATGATGTCATTAGGTGAATTTTCGGTACAATAAACAAAGGAAAACTAATTTGCAATTCACCAATGACATCATATCCGGAAACTTTAACAGTGAAAAAGTTGATCAAGATGGGATTTTTTATTATAAAGATATATTACATTTACATATACAGTATATCATATCATATACAGTACCTGTTTTTGGGTTAAACCCAACTTTCTTTAGGAATGGGATTAACTTATCTTTACATTCCTCATATCTAAACAAATATAAAATAAGTTCTTTGTATGTTTGCATGGCGATAAAATATAATAGTTTTGTTTGTGGAAACACAAATATAAAAATAAATATAAAAATAACTATAAAATATTTATACAAATAAAATATTTATTTATAAAATATTTATTTTAAATATAAAATATTTATACATTTGTTGTATACTGTTGCATTTAATATTGAAGAATGCAAAATCTAAAGCCCGAGGGTCAACAATATGCAAATTTCTTTACCTTGCCTGTTCCCACTCGACCGTAGGATCGTCCATTTTGTTAATAAGAATGACCAAGTGTTTTACCCCCGCAGTCTTTGCCAACATGGCGTGTTCTCTATTGATGCAAAATACTAATACAGTTACATCTATATTACAGAACCATTTCTCAGAGAAACATCAGGAAAAGATTTCCGAAGTCAATTCTTCAGGTCCATTTCCACTCAGGAAAACTTTCCGCATTATTTTATGGTTACCTGGTTTGTCCACCTCTTTCAAAACCAGTTTCAAATTCACCTTTCCTTGCTGAAATCACCTGAAATAAATAGCGTTCTTTATTGTCGATTTCAAGTCACTTTTCAACGCGCGGTTCCCAAGTTCATTGCAAACTTGCCAATTACGTTTCCAAGTTCAAAAATTGGGGGTGAACTTCGCAACAAAGTTCGCAAGTACATTTCAATGTTTGAACTTCTACTTTAAACAAGTGATAGTTCAAGTTGAAATTAACAATTCAATGGAAAGTTCTTGGTCCAGTGGTCTACCAAGATGGTTTGTATTTCATTGAATTGGTTATTATTGTTGAGTATGAATATTTGTTTACAAACGAAGTTCAAACATTGAAATGTACTTGCAAAATTTGTTCCAAACTTGGAAACGTACAGTAATTGGCAAGTTCACAATGAAGTGACTTGAAATCGACAATATCAACTCTCTAATGAAGGCCTTTTGCCCTCTCTTCTGCGGAGGCTTTTAGTTCATACAAGTACAACAACATATGTGGCTACAGCCTATACAGGTTAAAATCCTTACCAAGACTCCTAGATCAGCTTGAGCGGCTCCACCGATCATGTTTGGTACAAAACTTTTATGACCAGGTGCATCCAATAACGTAAATTTCTTCTGGCTAGTTTCAAACTGTGCACGACCAACTTCCACGGTTTTACCCTGATGTAAAGTGTTTAATTACTGTAGAGAAATTACTGGCTACAATGAAAGGCTATGCAGTAGTGTAAAGACCGATAATTGGTATTGACCGATAATTGGTATCGGGCCGATTTTGGCATTATCGGCAGACAAATTCGGAATCGGTAGAATTATCTGTATTTCGGTAAAATCGGTATCGGGTACACACGTAAGAACGCACAGCTTGTAACAAGTCTACAAACAAGTTGTTACAAGTCTGTTCACAAGCTGTCAACAAGTTGTCTTCGCACTGCTTGTAACAAGTTTGAAACAAGCTGTTAACAACTTGTAACAAGCTTGATGGCATTATCAGCCTTGTTACAAGACTGTGCTAACAAGTTTGTTACAGTCATGAAATAAGGATGTTACAAGGTTGTCAACACAAGGTTGTAACAATCTTGTTATATCAAGCATGTAACGGACTTGTTAGAACAACCTTGCAACAAGTTTGATAATATCGACATGGTTGTCACAAGTTGTTCCAAACCTGTTGACAACTTGTTACGAGCAATGCAAATACAACTTGCTGACGGCTTGTTGGCAGACTTGTTACAAGATGCGAGATTTTTGCGTGTGTAGATTGATGCACAAATAATCGGTAATTTCCGATATTATCTTGTGTGTGCCAGTGTAGGTAGTGGCAATAAGCTTGACATTGACAGGGATGTAACTATCTGAAAAATACAAGGAGAAAGTCGACGTTTCGAGAGAAGGCCCTACGTCGGGAAGTTAGTACCCGACGAAGAGCCTTCGCTCAAAATGTCGAAGTTTTCCTTGTATTTTACAGGTACTGTAGTTACATCCCTATCAATCCCAAGCTTACAATTTCCGATATTTCCGATTGTGATGCATTCGGTCAATCACTAGTGCTAGCCACTAGAATGCCATACGTTACGTTTAGTCAGGTGGCTTACCAACCGGTGTCGAATGTACCCAAGGGGGGGGGGGGGAGTGTCGGCAGTCCCCAGGTCATGATGCCTGGCACCATTTTTGCAAGACCCTCTGATCAGTTAATACAACATTGTGAACTTCTGCTACATTTAACAATTTATCAGTTGTCGGTATTGCTATTGTCGCTGGCACAGAGTAGGGTACACAGAAGGCTGACTACTTGGTTTTTCCTATGATTTTCCTATGATTTTGGCGTAACACGTAATTCGTCATCAAATGCTGACACCTTGGTCGCAGCCAGTGCACGTTTGAGAGGCATTCACCCCCTGATAATGTTCAAAATGGTGGACGTCCAGGGGGGAATGCCTCTCAAACGTGCACTGGCTAGGACCATGGCGTCAGCATTTTGATGATGAATCATGGCGTGGCAGCGGTTACTTGAGGCGACCTTCTGTGTCCCCTATTCTGTGTTGCTGCTGTTGTTATTACTGTCCAAAGCCTAGTACCTTGTCTCTCTCCTCTTGGTTTGTGTCTAATGCCCATGATAAATACCTTGATTAATAAAGAAAAGTGTCAAACTTGGCACATATTAATGTCTGTCAGTGGCAAAATAGTTAGTTCATGTTTTGACATAATATTTAATTTACTGGGAGTTAAGCCGGTTACAGACGAGCAAGTTTTCTATGACAAGTTTTTATGTGACAAGTTTTATTTGCTTGTCTGTACATGCAACTTTGACATTTTTTTCCATGACAAGTGCACTTGTTCAAAAACTGGCTTGAACAAGTGTACTTGTCATAGAAAAACTTGTCAAAGTACAAATTTTGTTCGTCTGTATGGGTCAACAAAGAAAACTTGTCAAAGTAATCTGAGCATTTGATGTGATTGGCTAGCGGACATTATCATTTTTCTGTCATAGCGGCAATAAACACCTTTTTCTGACACGTTCACGCCAGTAAATAAAACTTGTATTATGAAAACTTGTCATATAAAATTTCTTGCATATACACACGTGCACTTGGCAAATAAAACTTGTCACATAAAAACTTGTCATAGAAAACTTGCTCGTCTTTAACCGGCTTTACTATTGCATGGGAAGTGCTGCCTCATCTCTCACGACAAGCTCAACACGAGTGAACTCTGGAGAAATATTAGCAGTGCCAAGCAATTACCATGTTTCTCGATTCTTCTCTTTCGCCTCTCGTTCGTATTTCTCAAGAGTTCTTTTGTCAACTTGTCCTGTAAGGTACCTACAAAACAGAGAGGGATTTTCATATTTTCGTTCGGGGGGGATAAATATCTGGGGGTGCTGCTGCTTGCTTTGGCCGGGCGTGGTGGCAACGCCCAGAAAAGCCAAGGAAAAAGTTTAACAAAATTTGTTTTCTAGGCCTGCATGGCGAGATCTGAGACCATAATATTGGTAATTTTACAAATTTAGTAGTAAGAATAATCAAATATGAAACTATCAAATCAAAATATATGTAATTTGTGGGGGTGGGTGCCAAATGCCTTTGGGTCGGTGCAAATCATTTCTGGGGGGTGTGCCACCCCCCCACCCCCAACCCCCAGAAAATCCGTGCCTGCTAAAAAACCAACTATAAAATCATTACATTTGCTATCAAAAAATGTTTACCAAATAAATAATCAAACGCTTCTTTGGAAATAATTAAAGTAAAAAATTTCAAAACTTACAAAACCTGTCCTCCTATCGTTGACTTTCCAGCATCTAAAAACAACACACTTAAATTTTAAAAATCCATTATACCACACCAATAGGCTCATTGCGGTGAACTGACAATAACTACGGTAACAATAATTTTTACATTACATTAGTGACTGGACAGAGTGGAGATCTGTGAGATTTGTAAGCAAAGCATTTATTAACAGTTTTAACGATCTTTGGTTGAAGTAACAAGTTACGTTGAAAATTATCATTAAAAAATCGACATGAATAATGTCACCTTTACTCAGTCGACTGATATTACGACGTCATTATAAATCGGTAATTATAATTACAATAATCGGTAATTTCCGATAGTTGCACAATCGGTCAATCACGAATGAATGTACTACTCAGTAAACATACCAACATGTCCAATAAAGACGATGTTGATGTGTTCTTTTGAATCTTCTTCCTCTACTGGTGCTGGTTTTACTTTGGTTGTTTCTGTTGGCTTTTCGTCATCAAGAGCATTGTCTGTTAGTTCTTCTGCAACAATGAGAGAAAGTTATGAAAATACTGTGAGGGTGTGTGTGCCAATCAGGGCTGGATTAACCACGTGGCAGATGCGGCATATGCCGCGGGCCTTGAGCACGCTTATGGGGGCCTCACGCTTTACTGTACCACGCCCATTTTTACGAGAACACGTCCATTTTCTATTGGGACACGCCCATTTTGGGTGCCTCGCGAATTAAGATGCCTCGCGAATTTAGCTATCTTGCGCATCTAGGGCCCTAGGTTTTCATACTGAGGGGGGGAGGGGGGGGGTTGGGGGCCTCACGCTGAAAATCTGCCACAGGCCTCGCACGACGTTAATCCGGCCCTGGTGCCAATGTTCTCACAACCATACAGAAAGCATATTAAGCTTATGAGGGTGTGTGTGTCAATGTTCTAACAACCATACAGAAATCATATTAAGCTTATGAGGGTGTGTGTGTTGGGGGTGGAGGTTAGTAGTAAGCATGCAGAGACCCCTTACACCAAGTATTACACTTACTTGTATTATCTACTTAACCTAGGCTAATTATCTTTTACAACAATTGTGACATTACTTTCCTAACTATGTTTATCCTAACCCACCCTGTCAACTTCCCCTGTGGGAGGAAACCGGAGTGCCAAGAGAAAACCCACGACTTTCGGCAGAGCATTGACAGACTCTTTTCACATGGGCCCGCAGCGAGAATCGAACCCACTCTCTCACAGGTAAAAGACACTCGCTCTGATGATTGTGCCAACGAACCCCATACACCAAGATGGTATGCCTACTGAGCCAAAAAAACTTTTAAGGATCCACAACAACAGATGGGAAGGAACATGTTTGCAATTTAAATTCATTACATAAACCTTCTGTAGTGTCTGCCCTAGACTTTAATAAAGTCCTTCTCTGTCTTTACTTCTAATCGAAGTAATTTACAAAAGAGTAAGGAATTTCCAGTGGAGGTCGACTTAGAGCAAGTCTATGTCTGTCCAAGATGCAAGAAATATAGTATAATATGTAACAGCTGAGGGCAAAATTAGCTGAAATAACCATCAACTGGCTTTTCATTTGTGATTATTATATTTTTTACGTAAACAGTTTAATTACCAGACACTTCATTATCATCTTTGTTTTCTTCTGTTCCGTTGTTAGCTTCTTCATTGGAAACTTCCGGCTCATTTTCTTTTTTAAAATACAAGAATTAAAAGTTACCAATAATTACACACATGTACACTGTATATATTATGGGGGGGAGTGTGAATAGGGGTATGCAAATCCGACAATTTTTTGTTATAAATTCCGTCAATCCACCCTTATTTTCCTCAAAATGCAGACCTGTAGTTATGTCTGTTGTATACCTGTCACATTTTAGAAGAGTTACTAATAAGAGGATTCAAGGTTTCCGATGCCATAACGAAGCACAATAGTGCAAGGGGTGCAAACACAATGGAATTCTCTATAGGTCAATTTGTAGGGGGTGCAAACTACTACTTAACCTAATCTTAATCCTAACCCTAATCTTAATCCTAACCCTAATCTTAATCCTAACCCTAATCTTAATCCTAACCCTAATCTTAATCCTAACCCTAATCTTAATCCTAACCCTTCCTAACCCTAATCCTTACTCTAATCCTAACCCTAATCTTAATCCTAATCTTAATCATAATCTTAACCCTTACTCTAATCCTAACCCTAATCTTATTCCTAATCTTAATCCTAACCCTAATCTTAATCCATACTCTAATCTTAACCCTGATTTTAATCCTAACCCTTACTCTGATCCTAACCCTAATCTTAATCCTAATCGTGATCCTTTCCCTAATCCAAACCCTAATCCTAACCCTAAAAGTCTAAAAATAGTAACCGTTCCTAAATAGTGACTCATATGGTCTGTTGAAATTTTAAAATCTATAAAAGATATTGAAGTTTTGTTTCGACCAAACTTTGGCGATTATTGTACAATGTACATATTCTGCTTGTCTATGAGAAATGTTTCTTTTTGTCTATCCCCCCATAATGGACAACGCAAGATATATATTATTTCAAGGAAATTTATAACATACAAATATGTTAGATTATTAGCAATATTACCAGTCAGTTTATCCAGATCATCATTCTTATCAGCAACTTCAGGTGTATCATCCTTTATGTCAGCAATAGGTTTAGTCAATGGCGCTAAAATAATACAATTTATTATATTAATAGTAGAGAGTGAGACACTGAGAAATACACAGTGACATATTTTCCATATCTTCACTAGTGAGATATCGATCACGTGACTTTTAGTACCAGTATTTATACAATTTTTTGCTTGGGACTATATAATAAACAAAACATTACACAGTGGCTTGAAGATATGACTTTTATCTTCTTGTGTTAAAAACAATATTTTACTCACTCGCTGCGCTCATTCGTAAAATATTGTTTTCACCACTCAAAGATAAAAAGTCATATCTTCGGGCTGCCGTGTAATATCCTCTATATATGAATCAATTCCATATGTTAGGTCCGTCCCCCATGGGCACTTGTCATTTTGTATCAAATATTGGTACAAAACATGCACTGGGGGGACTTGAAATTGATCAAATGCCCCTTGGGCCAAAATAACAGTCATGCATATCAGGCCATATTTATGCATCGTTTTGATTTATTAGTGCTAAATAAATACACCTTTTCGATAATTACGTCACAAATGACCTGGGAGCCTCATTCTCGTATTCTTGTGAATCGCGAGCCAATAGCCGTTCTTGTCGATTCACGCTCCCAGGCCAAGGAAGCAGTCATGACATAATTATCGAAAAGGTGTATCAGGTAATGATTTTAGTAGTTGTAACTATAATTAGATTGTTGTTTTTAATTAACCCATTGAGTGGCAGCACTCTCCCCCTGACAAGTAAAATAGTCTGGCATTAGACAGATTAAAATAATAAAGTAGGGCACATCTGGGCACATTGCCACTTAAAGGGTTAAGAGGGTACGTAGGCAGATAATCTGATTAACCCATGGAGTGGCAGCACTCTCCCCCTGACGAGTAAAATCGTCTGGCGTTAGACAGAGTAAAATAATAAAGTAGGGTGCATTGCCACCCAAAGGGTTAAATATGTGCAAGAATGTCCCCTTAATAATGAGTAAAATTGTCTGGCATTAGACAAAGTAAAATAGTAAACTCAGGTGCATTTGGGTGCATTGCAGTTTAACCCACTGAATGGGAGCACTTTCTCCTTGACATGTAAAATTATCTGGCAATAGCCAGAGTAAAATAATAAAGAAGGATTGATCAGGGCACATTGCCACTTAAAGGGTGCAAAAATACTACTATGTTTTGAAATTAACTATTACGGTGAAAGTTATAATCAAATATATAATAATTGGACTGAGAAAAAATATAACAAAATATTGAAAATATACAATATAAACATAATAATAAATTGGCAAGATAAACAAACCAAATTATCTACACATTTTACAATTATAATTTGTAAACACATAAAAACCTGTTAAATCGCAAAAAATAACGTTTCAAATCGTGTATCTTTGCTTACCATTTGTGTTCGTCTTTTGGCCAAAAGATGGGACGAAAACCGGTGCATTTACGTTGGGAATAAATGGCCTAGCATTGACATTCAAAGACTGTATACCAGATGATAAATCTTCGCTGGTTTCCGTGGAATCGTCAATAGCGTCCCAAGAATCAGGCGTACTGTCGTCCTCCATTACGGAAACAAGTTATCGCAGTGTTTTATACAGAGAAAATAGTTTTAAAAACAAAAAATCAAAAAGTTTTTGTTGAATTTGGTTCTTGGAACTAAAACGTGTGTTTATGGCGCAAGGTCGCGCACATGTGTTTGTCGCGCGCGAACGTTTTTCACGAATTGCGTGCTGCCGTCATTTGCATCGTAGGATGAACAGTCGCAGATCATTTCAACCAAAGTAGTACAGCCACAGAATAGGACAGCTGCATTTTATCCCTACGTGCCATACCAAAATCAGCAAAATGAACCTTTAATAAGGAGAAGAACAAGTTTAAACAAAACTGATTGTCTCAGAGAGATATCAAGTATATTATAAACTGAAAGTAAAGTTAAAAAGTTAAAAAAGTTATTCAGAAATGATACAAATATGACACAAATAAATATTTATACTGTAAGCTTCGACGTGACAAAACTCACAAAAGTACAACATCAGCAAATAAGCCGGAACAAAGGTAGTCTTCCTCAGAACATAAATGGACTCAAACGAAAATTCATATAGAATTCTCTTTGGCGTTTCCGTATTACTGTCGATGTAAACGGCCCAGGAAAGAGTGCTGTTATAAAATAAGCTTGTTTATCCGGCAGACAAATTTGGGCACGTTTCCTAATAATAAAATTAACTAGGCTACATTCACTGGGTAGCTTTCTGTAGCGGTGCGAAAAAGCACCTATCCGATATGGAATGTACCGGATTGTCCAGGCTTTGAAGATAGCGTTCCTAAAAAGTTCCTAAAACGGTTTTGTCACGTCGCAGTGTGTAAAATTCGCACAATAAAATTTTGGCTCTATAAATATAAAACACTGTGCTTATTTCAATGGTTCATTTTCGTGAAAAAAATCTAAGAATACTCCAGTTTTGCGGTAAAACCACAATTAATTGGCGGGAATTAGATATACAACATCACAAAATATCCCATGTATAAAGTTAACACCTTTAATTTTGTAAAATAATTTTGACAAATTATTCACATCCTCCCACGTATTATTAAATATAAACTGAATATTCAATACGAAGGTCAGCAATGAATATTTCGTATATTTTATAAACGAACCTCGTAAAATCTTTACATGCTTGAATCGAGCTGGTGTGATGTTGCTGAAAATTTAAAAATGTCATAAATACGGTACAAATATGGAAGATAGACACGTCGAAGATTTCAAATCCTTAGAATCGATTGACAGTGGCTTGTCTGACGCAACCCGTCGCCACGGACCGAGAAATCAACACAGAATTGCTCCCAGTGGGCAGCTTAATCCCGCTTTTGGTATGAGAGACCTGTATTTATTATCAAACTATTCAATAGCAATATAGCACAGGTATCTCTTTCTACTTTTGAAGTATTCCTTTGAGAGTTTGTCGAATTCATGTATCAAATTATATAATCAGTAGAAGAAAAGTAGCTAATTTGTTAAATTAATAATGTAAAAGTATTATCTTTATTTATGATAACTTTTGATCCGACTAGTCGAGTACATAATAAAAGTATCAGTGTTCAAATTTGGACTGGAATTTGGGTACTGAAAAAAATGTACACTTTGACCATCAAAGAAACCTTTATAGGGTAAAAATCAGCCTTTATTTGTAATATGCTTGAGATTTCGGCGATTTTTACCCTATTTTGAGTTCAATAGTTGGCTCCTTGCAAAGACAAAAGCTCGACTAATTCGTTTTCAAGAACTTTCGACGTTTTTATGTTCTACAGCAGGAATATAAACACTTCAAAATATTTTTGTTGCTATGCTGACAAAGAAGCCTTCGCCCCCATTCATTTGACGATTCGTTCCAGATTATAATTAATATACATCAACTTTAAAAGGTGCTTACGTACTTAAAATATTGCCTAAGGTATATTTTTGTACTTCGTGAACGAAGTTTGGGCTTAAAAGAAACATAGTTTTGCTTGAGAACTAGCGTTATTTTTTGGCTATGAAAGCTTCGTCAAGTGGGCAAACGAAAAGTTCTCATGATCGGGAAGGCTTTGTTTACATTCCCGTATCCACAGGTAGAATAATTAATGATGTGATATTTTGTGATAAATTAATGAAGTGATGTGTCCCCCAAAAATTGCAATTAGCTATGCTGCAGATTGTTATACAGACAGTTATCAGTGGGCATCGAAAGTCTGATCTAAGAGATGAATTTTGACACAAAGATTATTAAAATTGGGCTAGTAGAACTGATGGGCAATGGACCATTGAAAAAATCTTATGAAAAAATGCACCAGTTGTGATGAGTATTAATAGATTTGATCAACTATGCATGGACATAGCCAACACTTGATCTAATTGATGTTGATTTTATTCAACTTAAGGCACCAGTGATGAACACATGGAAATGAGCGCAATGAATGGCAATCACCGCCCAGGTAGCCATGAAGACGTCATGATGACAGACATGTTGACAGACATGACATTTGCAAATGGTAGTCAGCAGATGAGAGATGACGATAACATGTCCCAGGGCTCAAAAGATGGTGATGATGAGTCGATTGCTTCAACAGGTAGGATATTATAACTCTAGATCTGTAGGGGTGCATTAAGTTCTGACCAGAACTGGACCTTGAAAAATCTGGCTGGAACCAGAACTCGGTATATTAATTTAAACATTTATGGTTATGTGTTACTTTGTCCACTGTCAACCTTAGAAAGTCGGATTATATTTATATGGCAATATGTCTATATGTCATTAAAATCAACAATGTCAGTAATGTGATGTTAAAATTTTTGGTTGAATTGTTCATCATTGAATGAACTGTCTCTTCTTTTATCTAATGAAGACATGTACTATGTTTGATTAGTTCTGGCAGAAACCCTAAAAAATAATTAAGGAGTGCACTGGAACTTGCTGCAGTTAGTTCTGGCCAGAAGATCTGGCCTAGTTCAGAGTTGTAACACTAACTATAGTACAACTGAGTTCAGTTCAGTAAGTCAACCATTGGTCCTTCACATCCTTGGACTCAACAAAAAATATCTTGTGGTTCCAATTTCATATGCTGAAAAGATTAGGGTAGGCTAAGCTCGACATTGGTGAACAATGGTGGTTGCCCCCACCCCTTCCCCCCACCCTTGCTGTCTGCCACTTACAATTATTTCAACAGATACCTATCAAAGTGGAACAAGCATGTCAAGTGAACTGCAGCAAGATCTCAAAGAGAGTCTACCCAGCCATTTGTTCCGAGAGATTCGAAACTTGCCCTCTGCCAAAAGACGGAAGATCATTCAGGAAAGGGCGACACCAGAAGGCGGGTCTCTGCGGCATCGGCCTCAACATAGCATCCGCCGTGGACTAGACGAGACAGATTTTGTGCTCATGGGAGAGGAGGGTGAAGCTCAAGCGCATGAAGAAATACGACACATGGCAACTTCACTGGATCGAAAGAAAATTGCACTGTATGTAAACATGCACAGTATGGTGTGAATTCTTGATGGTCAAGGCATACTTCTATTTTCATAACACATATTGGTCTTGGCAGTGGTATAGTGCACCTTCAGAAGATGATTTAGATTAAATCAAAAGTTTACTCTGACTCTTAAATGTGGTAGACCCTCCATTAACATTCTCTCCCCCCCCCCTTATCAGATGAGCTTTTTAACAATCATAAGTGCAATGGTACCACACATATATTATTACAATTTTCCATTGACACACAAAACTTTACTGCCTTTGACAAGTAACATCATCTGGCATTAAATAGAGTAAAGTGATCTGGCATTAGACATAGTAAAATAAAACTAAAGTAGGGGATGTTACAGGCCTAGTTAATCCATTGATGTCCCATATGACATGTAAAACATTAGAACTGCCAATCTATTATCCCATTGAGTGGCAGCGCTTTCCCCTGATGAGTAAAACCATCTGGCATTAGACAGAGTAAAGTAATAAAGTAGGGCACATCAGGGCACATTGTCACATACTTGAAGGGTTACCAGAGAAGGGTAACAACAGACAGAGTAAAATAATAAAGTAAGGTGAATTGCTAATGCCATTTTGGCATAATGGGTTAAAATGAGTTTGCTCTGCAGTGTTTTGCTTGTTCTATAAATTAACACTTTATATTTATATCTTCAATTTTATTTATATTTTTACTCGTCAAGGGTAGCCTATGTCGCAGACGGTGGGTGTTTAGAACGGTAAGGTTAAACTTACCGTTCTAAAGTTTCACCCACCGTCTGCGACGCAGGCTAGTCAAGGGGAGAGAGCTGGTGTTTAATGGGGTAACTTTTTTTCACTAGAAATCAAGTACAAGATCACATGAAAGACAAGGAACAAAATATCAGCACATTTCGATATTTTAAACTCAGACTTGCTGCAGTAAGTAAATTAACTCATCATTTTATTGTCGATTTCAGATTACTTTTCAAAGCACGGTTCCCAAGTTTGATGTCAACTTGCCAATTACGTTTCCAAATTCGGAAGTTCATTTCGTCTTGGGAGACCACTGGACCAATATTTTACTGCAGTAATATGTGCATAGGGTCTTATACAGTAATTTCAACTCCAACTATGAACATTTGTTTACAATCAAAGTTCGAACTTTGAAATGAACTTGCGAACTTCGTTGCGAAGTTCACGCCCAATTTCCGAACTTGACAACGACGTTGGCAAGTTCGCAACGAACTTGGAAACAGCGTGTTGAAAAGTTACCTGAAATCGACAATAAAATAAATATACAAAAAAAAATTCCGAATTGTAATGTTTTGAAAACTCAAAATATTAGTTGTTGAAAATACGTACACAAAATTCTCGGAAATATTTCGACTCTAATATTATTTTTCAAATTAGAACTGGCAACGGTTTAGGAAGAAAGTTGTGAGCACGATTAAAGACAATGAGTTGTGGAGTGGACCTCTGAAGAAGATCCAAGGTTACAAATTATAATTAAAGATGATCATTAATCAAAGTGTTTTAATTATGCTTCTAATTGAGCACTAATTAGTAATTTGGATATAAATTAGAAATGTACAAGACAGTGACATGACAAAATCCTTACTAATAGGGAAGAATACGTACCGTAGTTTTAGGAAATAAATTTTAAAGTCCTGGGAAAGCTAGGAAACCTAAGATTCCGAATTTTCATCAAATGTCTCACAAATTGCTTCCCAGGAAGTAAGAATGTTTCTCAAGTAACACATTTTGTTCACCGAATGCAAGTTTCCTCGCAGAAAAAAATTCGTGGGAGGTTTATTTTCTTTCGGTAAATATGGCTCTAGAGTATAGGAAACAATGTTTCTGTTTAGCTTACTTTGGGAAACATATATATAGCTAGGAAACAATGTCAATGTCTCTTGGTTTGTCCACCTTCGGCGAATATGGCTAGGAAACAACAGCAGGAGTGGAAAAAATAGGCGAGCACGCGAGCACTGCTCGCAGGAAATGTTAAACAGCTGCAGGAAATCCGTTTGAATGAAGATTTGCTATCGAAAATTTGAAGGAAACCTTAACATCCATGTCCTACTATGGGCGCAACAACATATGATTGACAGACATTATTCCTTGAATTTAAAACTATGATCAGCTAGAACACTACCTCAAAACACTATATGTTTATGCACATACAGATTTAGCACAAAAATACTCCGTTGGTCTGCAGGAAATTTTTGTCTTCAGGTTGTGTTCCCAGGACGAAAATGATTTTTCCTGCCCTGAACAACAGTTTTCTCAGTTGGCAAGGAGACGATGTTGCCAGATTGGCCCACCTTCGGCTAGGAAACAATATTCCCTGGCTTGCCTACCTTTGGGAAGCATGGCTAGGAAACAATGTTTCTTGGTTTGCCCATGCACCTTTGAGAAACATGGCCAGGAAACAATATTTCCTGGCTTGCCTACCTTTGGGAAGCATGGCTAGGAAACAATGTTTCTTGGTTTGCCCACCTTTGAGAAACATGGCCAGGAAACAATATTTCCTGGCTTGCCTACCTTTGGGAAGCATGGCTAGGAAACAATGTTTCTTGGTTTGCCATGACCTTTGGGAAACATGGCTAGGAAACAATATTTCCTGGCTTGCCTACCTTTGGGAAACATGGTATGGATACAATGTTGCGGGCCCTTTTGGAAACACGGCTAAGAGTAAGAAACAATATTTCCTGGTTTGCCCACCTTCGGGAAACACGACATGGTTACAAAATGGACCGCAAGCTAATCGAAATAACAAAAATAATTTTTTGTTTCAGGCAAATTTGGTACTCGTGTGTTATCCTATTTCATCTTCCTGCGATGGTTGTTCCTGCTCAACATCTTGATATTTCTCCTCGTGTTGATATTTATCTTCATTCCACAAATTATTTATCGTCCCAGTACCAAATACGGGAACCTGACAAGTTTTCATGGCACTGATCTCTTAGATGGAGGGGTATGTGTATTACAAAACTCAGGTGTAAAAATTGTCTTCACCATTTTGTAGTGCCATGTATTAAACTTTTATTAGGACATTTCCATTTATATTGCAAGACTTGACAGTCTTGACAGTCAGACCAGAAATTTTCGTCGGTTTACGTGAGCATCTGAGCTACGTACGAATTTTCAAATTTAGACCCAAAGGTGAAAAAGTAACGGGGAACCTACCGCGTGTCCCCCCCCCAAAAAAAAACAAAAACAGGACACTGTTTGATTTCATGTAAAGTAAAAGCTATAAAAGCTATCGCAATGAAATAAAGATCATTGCATTCAGAAAGGACTAACTTAGATTTTGATATATAACACTTGAATTTACATGCAATATTGACTCCGCTATTGATGTTTGAACGTTGAACTACTGTTTTTGAAAATGCCAAAAATTCCACAGTTGTATCTCGCTCAATATTGCATGTAAATTCAAGTGTTTTATATCATAATGTAAGTTGGTCACTTGGTCCTTTCTGAATGCAATGATCTTTTTTATTTCATTGCGATAGCTTTTATAGCTTTTACGTCACATGAAATCAAACAGTGTCCTGTGTTTTTGGGACATCCGGTAGTTCTACAAATTACATTGATTGAATATCTAAATTACTAAATACCTGATTATTGAAATGATTGAATACCAATTAGTTAATCTACTAACTCGATACCCCTATATATTGTAATCTTCTGTGGAAAATGTTGAGCCCTAAAGTCTGAACCCAGGTTTCGAAAAGAGAAAAACCTCCTGATTTCATTCCATCCAATGTGTCATTTTGTATATGTAAATTTCCATATGTCATTTTGTTTATTTCCAGGGATGGTTTAATGGTACGGAGCTATACTATGGTCACTACACAAGTGATACCATACAAATATCAGCAGGTTATGGTTATGAGATGCCATTGGCTTACCTCCTTACATGCGCAACTTATTTCTTGCTATGCTTGATCCTAATGGTTACAAGGTAACCAAATGCAATGTTACACAGACAACACACTGATAAGGGACTGGCTTTTGCACAGACATGGGGAATTTCACCCTGACCGCTGAAGTGTATGGCAAGAAGTTTTAATACATTATGCAGTTTTAATACAGTTTTAATATAGACTCTGTAAGCAGCACTGTAAAATATACCAGCCCTCCCCCATTGTTGCCTAAAAAAGAAACCCTCCCCTTGACCAGAACGGACTTTTTTATGCCCCCTATGCCATGTAGAGGGTCGGGCTTGTAAATACAATTCGGGCCCCACCAAAAATCTTACCATGTTAAAAACAGGTGACCCCCCTTTTTTGGCAAGTAAACATTTAGTGACCCACCCTTACATACCTCCGGCCCTACCCCTTCTAAAAACTGATGAATGCTCCCTAACTGTTGTATTGTTTTGTAGCATGACCAGTTTATACGAGAAGAACTACCTTGAAGGAGGAGTGGGAGCAAATGTCCTGACGACCAAAATATTTACAGCGTGGGACTATAGCGTGACAGACAGAGAGGCTTGTTTTATAAAACAACAGAGCATTGCCACTGACATTGAGGTGAAGTATACCATCGTGCAACAAATCGTATAGGGGCCATTCACAAAGGATGTCCGGCCAAATGATGGATTTTCAGACCCCCCCCCCCCCCCCTTGTCCGGCATTGTCCGAATTAGTGACCTCCCCCCGGACTTCCGCCATGCCTCGCAAAAACTCACGCAACCTTGTATATATCAAGAGTAAAAAAACTTTTTTTACTTTTAGAACTTTTTTATAACTGTAAATGTGAACACAAAAACATATAAATTACTAATTAAAACAAAATCTAGTGTTAACCGCATAGTCAAAATGTCAATTTCACAATGGGAAGGACTGCTCAAAAAATAGAGGGAAAAAGAAATTTGTTTTTGAATTTTTTTTAAATTTCGGACATCCGGATTGCTAAAAAACCCTCCTCCCCCCCTATGTCCGAGTTTGTCCTGATTTTCCAAACCCCCCTCCCCCCCCCTTGGCTCGGACATCCTTTATGAATGGCCCCATAGTAAACCGACAGTTACTCGAGTAAAGAAATAACGTTCATCTTTTTCTCGTACATGTCTTGTATTTGAAGACAAATAAATAAAATAAAGAGATCTACTGCCACAGAAGAGACCCACCAATATATCTTCCAAAAAGTGCAAATCCTTGGCTATAGTATAGAACCTTGCTTTGAACCCTTTATCGTCATTCCTAAGTGATCAAGTTGAACATATCCAACGACGTGCAACTAAAAAAGTTATCTGTTCTTCCTTGTCGTACAGCCAAAGTCTAACAGAACTCGAACTATACCTACACTTTTTGACAGAAGAGAGTCGTTATGCAAGTCCCTTTATAGGAGCAATTTAAACACTACAAATAAACTATTTGACCTTTTACCGAAGCCAGTGCACCACGCCACCACCAATACAATGTTAGAAACGCACGCAAAATTCTACTGTTCAAATCCCGTACCAAACGTTTTAGTGATAGCTTCTTGCCGTACGTGTGAAGAAGTGGGACGCCATTTAGGGCGAGTGGTTAAATTTACTCATTAATAATCTAATCTAATCTAAATCTTATTACTGAATCCTACTACATGTTGCAGGAATGTTTAGCTGAAACAAAGGACAAGCGAGTGTTGAGTCGTAAAGAATGGTTTAAATTGATTTGTTTAAGAATCTTCACAAATTTCATAAGCATTGCGCTGATTGCTTGTGCTACCTACCTTATTGTTGAAGTTGTCGCTGGATATCCCGTCGAGGTAATAACCTAATTCAAGAGTTAGAGTAATTTCATGTCAGCACGACCAATTCTTACCATCGCCATCATCACGATGATAATCATTACCATCACGATTATCATTACCATCACGATTATCATCACCATCACGATTATCATTACGATTATTATCGTCATCATCACCATTACGATTGTCATCGTCATCATCACCATTACGATTATCATCACCATACGATTATCATCGTCATCACCATTACGATTATCATCACCATTACGATTATCATCACCATTACGATTATCATCGTCATCATCACGATTATCATCACCATCACAATTATCATCGCCTGATCACCATCACGATTATCATCATCACCACAATTATCATCGCCATCATCATCATCACGATATCATCTGGACAAGCTTCATAACTATTGCACACTTTCTTGTGCTGCCTAGTACATTACTGCCTAATCGAATACAACCCTCCGTATTCACATCGTATAACTACAGATCATTAAAAATTCTGGAATCCATAAAAGGCAGAAGAACGGAAAGTTAATCGTATATATACTTTGTCGTAAAATATTTTTAATTGCCTTACTTGTTTGTGTTGTAGGAGGACACGACAATATTCCAAGAACTTCTCTTGCCTTTGCTGGTATCATTTCTGAACCTACTTCTGCCAGGAATGTTTCGTATTATCGCCAGTTTTGAAGATTACGCTCATGGAGCTACGGCAGTCAAGGTCTCGCTCGCAAGGTATGTAGGGCTGTCATTAAATTCTGAAGTAGGTGACCAAAAAGTGATAGTATGGCCGGCCAAAAGTTTGATATATGGGTGCCCCCCCCCCCCCCCACTGAAATCTAAACACCCTGCATTTTGGGAGGTGAGTTTACACAGTTCACAAAAGATTACAAAACGTCTTATCAAAGGCGAAAAAATGGTACTTTTCAAGACCATGCCTGACCCAGTCTAGAATCATTGAATCTTTTGTTTCAATTTTGATATTCTGAAGTAGAGGAGATGAAAAGAAGAAAGTATTGTACTGTTTATTTGCTTAAGTTTTGTTTATAGAAATTTTGTCCAGACAAATGTACGCGGCCGCTAGCTAATACTAGGCAAGTAGCCAACCAAGCCCTGCCCCAGGCATCTATTATATAATTGCACAATTATATAATTCCCTCATTTATACTTGCGTTCTATAGGACAGTGGTATTGAAGTTATGTACACTAGCCGGGATATTTGTTTCACTGTACAGTGATATTAATTGTGCCAGTGATGATGGTTCCAGTAACTGCAGAATTGTAAGTTGTAAGATACGTCTATCATTCCTCTAACAATATATTGAACTATTTTATCTACAAAATCTATGGATATTTAAAAATTTTAAATTTGTCTTCTTTTCCAATTTGCACATTTCTAGATTGGGTGTTGGGAGAATTATGTTGGTCAAACATTTTATCGTCTGGTTTGGGTTGATTTTGCTTTCATATTGCTGGCGACATTCTTTGGAGAATTTATCAGACGGTAGGTAGAGGGTGTCACGTCACGTCGTTGACTTTGAACCGTTAGAAGCCCTAATTTTCCATGGGAGTCGTGAGCTAGACCGCTGCACCTCCCCTAAATTTTTTTCCACCTCCCCCACTATTTCCACCAAAATCCGGTCTTGGTCACCTGGGGCTGATCCCAACCCACCCTGTCAACATTCCTTGTGGGAGAAAACTGGACGGTAGAACCACTAACTCTATTCAAACTACCTATAAACTCCTTGATTTTCCTACTTTTTCTCATAAAATCCTACTTTCTAAGACAGCTTGGGGAATCATTATGTTGTTTTAACTCTTTGCTTACAGACGGAACTCATAATTCGAACATATTGATATTTTCTTTAGATTGCTAGCCAGTCGTGTAGAATGGTGGGGAAATAATGTGGGTTGTCCTGGATTTGATATCTCGCGAAATGTTCTTGATCTCATCTATGCACAATGTTTATGTTGGTAAGTCCTGGCTTGGTAGATCACGCAGTCAATGGATGGTTCCAGCTATAGACTAAATTTTGATCAAGACAAGAAGAACAAAATCCATCACCACGGCTGGAAAGAGCATGTTAAAATTAGTAAAATTGCAAAGTTCGGTTGCGAAATGTTGTAAAATGAGGAAATATAGCCCTGTGAAGTTCGCAAATTTTGTATTAATTTGTATTACGCACGGGAAAATGCACCACTTTCGGCCCAAATGTGGTGCATTTTCCCGCGCGTAATACAAATTAATACAAAATTTGCAAATTTCGCAGGGCTATATTTTCCGCATTTTACAACAATTCGCGGCCAAACTTTGCAATTTTACTAATTTTAACATGCTCTTCCTAGCTGTGGTGATGGATTTTGTTCTTCTTGCCTTGATCAAAATTTAGTCAAAAGCTGGAATTGCCTATTCAAGTCCTTGAATTTGGAAACAAAAATTTAAGGCCTTGAATGTCCTTGAGTTTATAAAGAAGTGCTTGAAAGTCCTTAAATTACTTTAGTGGATATTTTCTGAAATTGTTTGGCATTAAGAATTGGACATTTTGTGATTTTGTTCATGTCTTACAAAGACCAAAGTTGTTTGAAATTCGCGTATTTTGATATTTCAAATTAGTATTCTTGCTCAGACCGGTCGTGACGATATTTTATCACCGTTTCAGGTTTGGTACATTCTTCAGTCCTCTGTTGTCCTTCATCTGTCTTTTTAAACTTTGGGTTCTATTCTATGTCAAGAAGGTAAGCTCATTCGTTTCATGTGTACATTTAATAAAGTAAAAATGCATTAGAAATATAATTAGCTTAGTATTTTCTCGTGTAGTAACAATAGATCAATTAACAAGGGTTGGTCCTTACTGAACCTCGAGGAAGAACAGCTATCCAGTGTAAATAAAGTAGGTGTAGGTCAGGTTTGCTCTAGTAAGAGATGGACCTCTAACAGGAATGGATCTACCAGGGAGATGCGTACCACTCCTAGATTTGGAAAAGGGTGTTAGGGGGGGGGGGGGGGGGGTGTTGGTACCAATGGCCCCACGGTCCCCCCCCCCCTACACGCTTTGCTCTGTCCCTCCAGTGCATTTATTTTAGTTTGGTTTGATTTTAGACGAGCGTGTTGAACAACTGCCGACCAAGCGTGCGACCATTCCTTGCATCGAAGATGAACCTATTGTTCTTGGTATTACTGGGTATATCTTATGCTCTTATCTTGGTTGCTTTTGGCTATGCGGTCACTTCTTCAGGAAGGTATGTCTGCATCAACCTCGTACCCAGGGTCGGTACGAGGTTGTGTCTGCAGTACGATTTCTTGGATGGAAATGAGCCAAACTGACTGGGAAACTCGCCCAGTGACCTCTATATGTAAACTGGAATGATCACTCCTATGATAAAGCCTATGATTCGCTGAAGCCAAAATAGTTTTTCTGAGTTTTGAGCTGAAATACCATATATATCAAACTGAAGCTATTGAAAATTGCTATTCGGTGTTGACATTTCAGGACTTCAGCGAAAAGGAAAATATTTTAAAAATACAAGTTACACAACGTCAATGAAAAGCTTGGTAACACGGAATCGAACAATCATAAATTTCACATGCGCATAATTTTAAAATGCGGAATGCAAATATTTTGAAATATGATGAAATTTTTAATGCCAGTTGTAGACAATTTCACCAATAGTTGTATTAATATGCTGCCTGACAAACTGTCCGACAAAAACCAGTTATGCCGGAGAATTACCTTTTCGTACCGAACAATGTCCGTGACCGGCCGCTTATATTAGGCTCGCCTCTCGTTCCTTTCGCCTCGCAAAGAGCCTCTGGAACCAGGGTACTCATACTGTATAATATACATACATTAGAAATGATGCTGCATACATTATAGCCTTTTATTTGTTCTTACTTTCAGTCGACTGTCTCCATCGGACTGCGGTCCATTTACTGGCAAGGACACGATCTATCAAGTGGTTTTGGATAGTGTCAACACGTTCCCAGATGTGTTGAAAGAAATTATTCGTATCATTTCTTCACCAGCTATCATTGCTTTGATCTTTGTAGTTTTTGGGTAGGTCATATTCAGTTACATATAGTTATTTTATTCTAAGTTCTCATGGCTAAAAGCATGAGCAAGTTTTCATTGACAAGTTTATATTTTCTAGGAATTGAAAGAATTTTTAGGATTTTACAACTGCTATATGCACATGCGAAGCAATATCACGATAGTCATCTCGAACATGACAATAATTTCGATATGTCGTCGCTCAAGTTTCTACCTTCGATACGATAATCGCGATTGAAAATATCGCGATAAATCAAAATATCCATGCCTTAAAATATCGGTCGGTCACGGACATTGTCCGACCCATTCGTGAAATTATTATTATTTATTATTTAAAAATATTTTAAAACGGTAGCTCTTCAGGGCTCGTAGGCACCTGTTTTTCAAGAGGCCGTTTATTACAGTATTTACAAGCTATATAAATATAATAACACAAATATACACACAAAAACAGAGAAAACATAACGAACTTAATAATTGCATGCACTACATTTGTATCTAAAAATATTCTATCCTATTTAAATATTTACAAAGTTACCAAAAGGAATCAAGTGCCGTCAAGAATACGTTTAAATTTGTTAAGGCTAATGCCTTTTTCTTTTGCTGTAGTTGATAAGTCATTCCAAAGGGATGCAGCTGAATAACTGAAGCTCTTTTTCATAAAATTTGTTTCAGGTTTTCCAAGATCATAGTTGTTATTGTTACTTCTTAAGTCATATCTGTCATTTATTTTAATTTTGAACATGTTGCAAATTGATGATGGCATTTTTTCGTTTCGTATTCTGTGCATAAAAATCGATTTATTGGTTTTATAGCGTTGGTTTAAAGGTTGCCAGTCTAATTCTTTTAAAACATCGTCAGAACTAACTTCATAAGTTTTACCAGTGATGATTCGGGCCGCTCTGTTTTGTAATTTCTAAAGTCTGTTTTTTAAGTAATCACAACAGTTATCCCAAACCAAGCTACAATAATCAAAATGTGATAGCACAATGGCATTATATATTTTTACTAAGGTTGATTTGGGAACAAACTGTTTTATTCGTCGCATCATTCCTATTCCTTTTGAAGCTTTTGTGACAATATTTTGGATTTGATGATTCCATAAAAGATGTTCATCAATAATTACGCCTAAAGTTTTTGATTTGTGAACCTGTTTAATGACTGATTCACCAAGCTCAATTTTAGGGTCCGTTAGTACTAAGTTTGAAATTCGTTGTCTTGAACCAATAATCATGTATTCAGTTTTATCTTTGTTAAGTGTAAGTTTGTTTGCAAGTAACCATTGGTGTATATTTTCTAAGTCCACGTTAATGCGTTCTTGTAGTTCGTCATTTGTTTTGCCATTGGTTGAAACATTTGTGTCATCGGCAAACATGCTTGCTGAAGATGAGGTCAGGCAGTTTGGCAGGTCGTTTATATATAGTAAGAAAAGAAGTGGCCCAAGATTAGAACCTTGGGGTATTCCACATTTAACTGTTCTTGTCTTGGACATTGTTTGATCTACCTTACATATTTGAATCCTGCTAGAAAGATAGGACTGGAACCAAGCAAGCGTATGACCTCTTATTCCATAACAATGCATTTTTTTTAACAATATATTATGATCAACACAGTCAAACGCTTTCTTGAGATCCAAAAAAATCACTCCATTTAACAAACCCTTATCCATATTCATTAGCCATTGGTTCGTGATGTAAAGTAGAGAAGTTTGTGTAGAGTGATTTTTCCTAAATCCTGCTTGTTGTTCTGCAAGAATGTGATTAGTTTCAAGATAAATTTCTAGTTGCTCTGTAACTAATTTCTCATATATTTTAGCAACTGAGGATAGAACCGAGATTGGTCTATAATTATCGCAATTAGTTTTGCTTCCAGTCTTATGAATTGGAGAAATGATAGCAATCTTGAAGTCTTCAGGAAATATACCAGTGTTTATAGATGCGTTAAAGATTGCTGACAGGGATGGTGCTATTACCTCAGCAGCGTCTCTTAGAAGTTTACCGGGTATTCTATCATGCCCTGCTGATTTGGATGTTTTAATTGTAGAGAGCAACTTATATACCTTAGTTAATGAAACATTTTGTATCGTAAATTGTGTATCGGACCTAGTCACGTATGACTCAAATGTCCTTGAGCTCTGTGGCATGTTATTAACCAAACGAGATGCAACTTCGTTGAAATGTGAATTTAAAGCATCTGCAATTTCATGTTTTTTATTCAAATTTTGATTATCGTTCTGGATTTCAGATATAACAGTTGTTTTTGACTGTTTGTTTGTAAGTTTATTAATTGTTTTCCACATTTTCTTTGGGTTGTTATCACAGTCATTTAAAGTATTTGTAAAGTAAATTGCTTTTGTATTCTTAATTAATCCTTCTTCGGATTCGGGACGTTGTCGCATTTGTAATTTCGCATCGTCGATATTTTGGTCGATAATTTCTATAGCTTCTCGTAAAATTTCTTTCTTTGATGGATCGGATTCGGTCTGTAAATTTTGTTCGTGTCTTTGTCGTTCGATCTTCAAGAATTTTATTTTTTGCCCGGGTTCTCCTTTGGGTACGGTAATTCCTACGAGTTCCCTGGCTTCCTGTTCGGTAAATTTTCCGTCACGATGAAGTTGTAAAACCCGTTCGCTAAATTTAATGTTGTCGTCGATATTTTCACGATGAATTTCGTCACGAACATCCTCGGAAACGGAACATCCTCGGAGCATCGGTGTTCTCGCCGTTCGGAACTTCTTCTTCCACGATACTATTCAATGTTTTTCGATGTTCTTCCGTCGCCTTTTCGAATGCGGTCCTAAAATTCAGTTGACTCTGTGCGTTCAATGTATTTTTCGATAAGAAATAATTTCCATTTCTATCGATAAATGCAACTTTGACATGGTCGAACGTCAGCCAGTATTTATCGACAACATCCAGTCGGTAAAATATATCTTTTGAATTCGGTCCGTCGTTCGGATCTAATCTATAATCTTCCGTAAAAAGTTCTTTCATATATTCTGCTTTCAGGTTGACGTCGTATACAGTGAATTAGTTTCTCTTTTTCCCTTGACGGACGTATCGTCTTCGTTCTCCCTTTTAAAATCCATCATCCATAATTCATCGTCTCGTCTATCTAAATCTTCCAATCCTGTTTCGTACAAGTCAACATTAGTTTCCTCCCAATCATCCAAGTCGTAATCATCATCGCGTTGTCCAAAGTCATTCAGTTCGATATCCATTTTATTTACTACTTAAATCCAACGATAATTCTGGTTCGTAATATCTTCCTAAAACGTCTTTGTCGGGGTTGTCGGGATCTATAATCTTATACATGTTCGAATCACCGCGAAATACTTCCGACACAACGTAAACGTCGCCGGTATAATTCGGCGTGTATCCTTTTTCAAATTTTTTATGATAGATCATATCCCTTACATGATCTCCCTCTTTAAATTTTGGTTTTGGAAAATGCGATAACGGGTAACCGTAAATTTTCGTCCAGACTTCGTCTTTATTGTCCTCGTTTACGTCTGCAGGTTTCATACCGATGGTCCGATGTTTGGAATGATTGTAGGAACTTACAAAATCCGGTAAGACGTCGATCCATCTCTTCATCTTTTCCGTAAATTTACTTTCCGTAAAATATTTTCACATTCTTGTTTTTAACGTCCTGTTAAATCTTTCGACGATCGCCGCTTTCTTACCGGTGAGCCTCGTCGAAAAATAATGAATGTTGTGATCGTTCAATAACGTCTTGACACCGTTATTGTAAAATTCTAAACCGTTATCAAACTGTGCTACTTTAGGATATCGTCCGAATTTTTCGTGAAATTGTTTTAAAACTTGTGCGACGGCCGGTACCATATTTTTAGTATCTTTTCGATAGACGGGTACGGCAAATTCGTACCGACTTAGAATTTCGATCACGGTTAAAATCCACCAGTTTCCCTTATTGGCGCGACTATAAATTTTCATGTCCACCAAATCCATTTGTATCTGTTGTGAAAGTCCGTTGACGTAAGTTCTCTGAGTTTTAAAATGTTTTCGGATCGGTTTATGAACGATGTAGGTATTCTGGGTCTGTAATCATTCTTTCACATTTTTTCGCGTGACGCCTTCGATGCCTTCTTCGACCGCATCCCGATATAATTTTTCCATCGACATGTATCCACCGTTGACGTTAAAATAAAGTTCGTGTAAGGCTAAATCCAAAGGTAATCCCATTTTATATTTCCCTGGAAATATAAAACAATGAAGAAGATAACGGTATACGTCGAAAATGGTGAAACTACGGTCAAATTATTGAATCCGTTAGTTCTAACCCATGCGTCCAAACTCTACGTGAAAACAGCCGCCGTGTTCTGGAATTATCAAAATATTCGAAAAGGGTACAACGACTATTTTTCCATCGATAAGAAAAAAGTTACGTTGGACGAAGGATACTGGACGTTTAAGAATTTACGAAAAGAGTTGGAAAGTCACGGATTATCCGTCGAAGAATTTCCCGACGGACGCATCAAGATTGGATTCACGAAAGGTATAAAATCTTTAAACTTATGGAAACTGAACGGTCTGCTGGGATACACTACCTTTTCGATCGTCCTTTTCACGAAGGATTACGTTACGTGACGGTTGGATGTAATTTAGCGAACCGATCCCGAAATATAGATCCGATGGGATTTCCCAGTAATATCATCACGTCGCTTCCCATCGAAGGAAACAAAACGTCTGTTTGGAACGACGACGAAATACAACGACATCGAAAGCGAAGTCGGTGCGGATGCGGGGATTTACAACGAACTTCATTTCGACGTGAAATCTAACGTTCACGTTATCGTACTGGGAAATGTTTTAATGGAACTTTACGTCGTATAATAAAATGGACGATCAATTATTCCGTAAATATTACGGAAAAAATTATGAAAAGGTGAAAAAAGCCTATCCTCTCGAAATTCAAAAGATGAAAACTAATTTTTTAAAAAAATATCCCAACGCGACATTGAGTAAATTTAATTTCGAAGTCGACTTTACCAAAGATGGTACGGTAAATTCTACCGAGATTTCGTACAAGGTCGACGATCTGACAAGTTACGATATTACGTCCGATACATTTTTACATAATCCGGATTGGACGAAATATTTATATTGGACGAACGGATGGCGTAACGTCGCGTCGGATATGATTTTTCGACCCAATTTTAAGTTCGGGATGGATTTACACACATTCAAAATTTACGTGTCGGAAACAGACTATTTTTCAGTCGGTCTTGAATACACGACACCACAATATACGGAGTCGGGAAAATTTTTGGATTTAATTCCGTTTGATTACCACAAAAATTCCTATTTTTGTTCGCTGGCAGCATGTTACATCGCTACCTTCAAATCTGGAATTTCCGAAGATCACCTGAATAATTCCATTTCCCATTCTTACTTGGTCACATCAACCGTAAAATTCCACGTTCATTATCAAATGGAAAAATTCATGAAAATTCCAAAATTACTGGATCATTATCTGACCGAAGATGATATTGTCACCATCCAAAAACACATACCCGTTCGCGAAACATGGGAAAGACGAACCGTATCCTCGCATGCGAATGTTGGAACGTGGTATTACGGATTACCTGTGGATACTCGTCGTAGAATTCGACGCCAACATTACGTACGAACGCGATACGGTGGAACGTACATCGTCTACAAATATTTAACGGGAAAATTCCCAAAAAATGTTACGGAAGATCATAAAATTTTCATTCCGAAAATATCGCGTGGATTGACGAAATTAGGACAACGGCTCTTTCAGCAATCTCTCGAAGTTTATACCTACGCCGTGCTCGGAGCGCAAGCGAAAACCCGGTGGAGTATTACGGGGCAGGGTGCAAAAAGTTTACAGACGCAAGACGTCTTTCGAAAAGTTTTAAAAGACAGTATTGTTCAAAGTGACGTCACCGTAATCATTCGAAACATGCGGACGGCGATCACGGATACACACGTCGGTCTCAACTTTGCTATCATGTCAGGATTAATTTTAATACCGTCCGATATGAAAATTTTAAGGAAAGCTTTACCCGGATACAATAATATTTTAACGATCGCCAAGAACGGTATGACCTTTGGAAAGAACGAAAAGGTGAATTTTACGGAGGAACCAGAAAAACCTACGGTAAATACCGTGAAACCTGTAATAAGTCCCGTGGAAAAACCTGTAATAAGTCCCGTGGAAAAACCTGTAATAAGTCCTGAGGAAAATACAACCGTTCCGAATTCACAAACTTTAAGTTTGGGAATTATTACCATCCTTTCGACGGGAGTTGCTTATTTTCTATTCAGATAATAAAATATGAGTATACTCATGGGGTATGATTATTTTGAAAACAACGACCTCGAAAAGAAGGTCGCGGACATGGAAAAAATACAACAGAGAAATACGGCCGAAATTCAGAAAAATAAAACCGAACTGATCGACTTGAACGACATCGGAAGAAATCCACCCGTTCAGTACGATCGTACACAAATTTCCGGATATCCACCGGGATTTTTCGAAACCACCACCGTCTCGGCAACCGATCAAAAAAATGCAAAATTCATTATTTTTAAAGTAAATGGTGTCGGTATCAATCAGGAAACCCAATCTCCCAGGTATGGATTTTACGGTGGAAGTACTGGAAATGTCACCATATTTGCCGAAACGCAATCGGGTGGTATCGTTCGTACGACGTTTACATTCTTTCACATGACCAGTAAAATTACCGTCTTTGGATTAAAATTTAGAAATATCGATACGGCAGGAAATTCAACCGTTCGAAAAAAATCAACGGTTCTCAAATGTTTTCTCGTCACGTAATTTTTTAAGTTTTACGTCAACTTCAAAAATTCGCGTCAGTACGTATCCGCTACCGAGACCGATGGCACTTACGGTAACGTACATATATTTTTGCATGTCGTCCGACGGTTGATAATAATCACTTAATTTTGGTTTACGGTGCTGGGCCGATAAATCCATTTTTCGCCTATAATTTCTTAATTTGTCCAACGCTTTGTTCGTCTCTTCGATATCGTGATTCGCGTCTAAAATTTCTTGACGTCGACGTAATTCTTGATTGCGTCTTTTCACTTCGGATTCGTAAAATTTCTCCTTAGCCTCGGCTAATTCTTCCAACGCATGATTATGTCTTTTGACTTCTTCCTTGTACCCGTTCTGATTCAAATGGGAAAATAAGAATCCTGCCCCCGCAAACGCAACTGCATTAAATAATCCGCCGACGATTAAATTAGATGTCATTATTTATTTATTGATTGTTTTAGGAACGTATCCTTTATCTTTCAGATACGCGACGGCAAATGAACTTCCCGCGACGGCAAGACTTAATTTCATCGCACATTCGAAGGTCATCGTTGCCCCCAAACTTTTTCCGACGACGGTTTTCGCAGCGTACGAAACGCCGACGAGACCGGCCGTGAGTAAGGCGGCGTCGTACAGATCATTGATCACTTACTTCTTTGTATCAGACATTGTTCTTTTATTTCTACGAGAAATAAAAAAAAAAATATTTACGACCGACATAGTTTTTCTATTTCGTCTAGTTCGTGGTTCGTATTTCCTAATTCTTTCGTAAGTTTTTTATTCTCGGTCCAAAGTTTTATATTTTCGGTCAGTAAATCTTTTAGCTCTTCCGGAACATTATAATGTTCTATTTCGAGGTCGTCGAACTCTTCGTTCGTATTGTCCAGTTCTTCTTCGAGTTCTAAAATTTTTATTTCCTTTTTGTGTAATTTAATTTTAGTCCGTCTATTCTTTTCCTGTGCGGCTAATCCTCATTTTCTCCCAGATTCAACGTTCCGTTGATTCTTAACAAGTTCCCCCTTGCGAACTAATTCACCACTTGCCTCCGTCCGACCGTCCATTTCAAGTTGTCGTAATTTCATATCATCAATACCCTTTATCATATTCACAACACCGGGTATCGTATACGTTCCGGTTTTTCGGATGGAGGGAAGTCAGTCAGTCAGTCAAATCTTTATTTAAGCACGGTAGCTTCATCAGGTTTACAAAAAAGTTATCTATACATTAATAAGTTTAAAAAATTTTTCACGCCTATGTTACATTAATATTTATACCTGTTTTCCATGAATGCCGTGTCTATCGAATATGATGTTTCAACAATTGTCGAAATTCAGTAAGAGATTCCGCTTGTCTTATATTACTAGGTAAGCTGTTCCATAACACTGCACCACTATAGCTAAAGCTATTTTTAAGATAATTGGTGCGGGGTAAAGGAGCAGCAAGTTTGTTCACGGAGTCTCGAAGTATATAAGAAGTTACATTATTGCGATTAGTAAATTTAGAACATAGATATTCGGGTGCAAGATTGTTTAAAGATTTGAAAACCATCAATGCTTTTTGAAATTGGCGTTGTTGGTTTAGATCATCCCACCCTAGCTTTTCCAATAAGCTATTGGCATCGGCGTCAAAGTTGGAAAAGGTCAACACCCGCATTGCACGGTTTTGAAGTTTTTGAAGTTTGTTAGATAAAGTTTTCCCACAATTTCCCCACACGACATTACAATAATCAAAATGTGGTTGTATTAGAGCTTGGTAAATAACATGCAATGTTTCCAATGAAACAAATGACCTCAACCGCTTAATAGCACCGATACCAGAAGCAATTCGTTTTGTCATTTTATTGATATGACTACTCCAAGTAAGATTTTCGTCTAATAAGACACCAAGTGATTTTGTTGTCGAAACTCGATCTAAAGGAATTCCATTTATTTCAAAAGAAGGATTGTCAGAGAGAGTACTTAAACGTTGTCTCGACCCAATTAACATGTACTCAGTTTTAGTCATATTTAAAGTAAGTTTATTTGATATTAACCATTCATTAATGTTTTCCAAGTCTTCGTTAAGATGAAATTGAATAGTGTTTGTATCGCTACCAGAATATGTAAGATTAGTGTCATCTGCATACATTCTGGGATGAGAATTAGATAAACAATTTGGTAAATCATTAATAAATACCAGAAACAGGAGCGGTCCTAGGATCGTTCCTTGAGGAATTCCACACTTAAGACTACACTTTTTTGAAAGTGACCCGTTAACAAAACATTTCTGCCTACGGTCTTCCAAATATGACTTAAACCATTTGTAGGCAACTCCGTGAATTCCATAGTTTCTGAGTTTAGACAACAAGATCTCATGGTTGACCGTATCGAAAGCCTTTTTCAGGTCTAGAAATACCACGGCATTAATATTGCCGCGGTCAATATTGTAAGCCCAACTATCAGTGGCCTCAAGTAAAGCCGTAGCCGTTGAATGCAAAGAACGAAACCCCGACTGGTGTTCGGATAGCAAATCATGTTCTAACATGAATGCATAAAGTTGATTATAGATTATTCGTTCAAAGGCCTTAGCCATTACTGAAATCACAGAAATTGGGCGGTAGTTATTCATTTCATTCCGTGTACCTTGTTTAAGGATTGGAGTAACTTTGGCACATTTCCAATCTTCAGGAAATGTACCCAATAATAATGAAAGATTAAAAATATTGGTTATGGAACTAGAAATAAGATCAGCACATTCTCGAATAAGTCTGGAAGAACATCCTTTGCAATCCAACGACTAAATGCCCTTGCCGCCGGTAGTTTCGATCTCATAATAAGTTCATACATACCGGCTTCGTCGATCATTGTGGTGTTAGGTTTTACACTTCCGTAAGAAATTTGGACCCCCGCCGTTTTGGCGGGGGTTGAAATATCACTAATAGCCTTCCTTGATTCAGGATCCACATGGTTCCGGACTGCCTTATCCGTATCCTTGTATCCAAGTGCATCGGCCACATCACCTGCTACGAACCACACATCGTCGTCCACAACAAGCGACTTAATCCTCTTGTTTCCGATGATTGCCGGATTTTCTAGAATCTGTATACTCATTCTCTTTTTTTATCGTATGGATTTTTCCATAAGATAGTTAGTACTCCCACAATTCCTAGCGGTCGTCTAATCAAACAAGTCGTCGAAGGGTACCCTCGTGGAATTTTCTTTTGTCGGGACTTCTTCTTTTTTCACAGGACTTTTTTCCTCCTCCTCATCTTTTTTCTGACTCTGCCACATAAAATATAAGGTTCCGAATCCTACGACGATCGTAGAAATCAAATCTAATTTTTTCAGGGAAAATAGTCCTTCATCTTCGCATTCTTCGCTTTCAACACTTACTTGATTTTTTAATTCTTCTTCCCGTTTCGCTTTCTTGTTGGCTTTGGCCTGTTGACTGATAGCCGCCAATCTTTTTCCCGCCGCGACTCGACGTGGATCTTTGTCTTTTTGAGGTGGTTCCGAAGGTTTTGTGACTATTTCTGAGGTTTCTGGATTTGTTGTTGGTGTATCACGCCTGGCATTTTTGCACGCGAAATTGCACATTCAAAATGTGTCATTTTTTTTCGTTGCCGCGCGACAATTTTGGGAGCTTGGTAGCGAATTTGATAATTGAAAAATTCCTCAAATTCCACGAGCGCGTGCTTGTGCGCGTTTTCCTTGAGGGTTATTTAAGGTAAACAGGGAAACAGAGCGTGTCTCGGGGATCAAAATGATATCAAGATTACCATGGTTACGCGGAATGTTTTGCCACAGGAGCGCTTGTTGTTCGGGGCATTTGAGGGAAATGGCGACTTTCGCATCATGTTGTCAAAATGCAACAACTTCGCCTTGTATAGGATTCTTTCTACAGTGTTATTTTCATTTTATTTTTGAATCCAATACAAGTCAAGATACCTATTAAAAATCGTATGTTTTTTGTTTTTGACAAAATGTGCTAGAAAAGATAATATTATACCTTTTACAAAGGCATGCACGCAATAAAATATTCGATGTTGGAAAGTATATGCGAAAGACACAGTTAGGCTGTTGGCAGTTGAAGAGGAGGACAAAAATGCAATATATACAGCTCAGGAGCTTAAGCGATTAGATTCCAAGGTAAGAAAGGTTTTACATATCTCTTGTATTTTTTGTAATCGGGTTTCTGATTTATCATGGTCTTTTATTCAATATATATCTTCATATTATGAACTGAGCTCATCTTGATCGTACTATACACAGGTTTATTCTTGTCATGATGATAAATTTATATTCGCGCACAATTTTTGTCTACCACAGTACTTATTGAACTTGAAGCTCACAATTGGGATGGCTTTAAATAGTATACAGTTTATAGTTTGATAATTAAAAATAGATATGCTATAACCCGTACGAAAAGTTACAGCCTGACTGAGCGAGATTCTGGCCAGAATCTGGCCATAAACCAATTAAAGCAGCGGTAATTGAGCGAGACGCAACCAGACATTGGTTTTGTCTCGCTGCCTGTTACGAACGAGACATTTGTATCGCTTGTTCATGGCCGAGAATTTGGCCTGAATGAGCGTGACATCGCAAGACAGTTGAGACGCTCAAACGAGACAATTGTCACGCTGCTTTTACAGCGAAACATGGACGATAATATAGCGAGGCAGAGCGAGTCAAGCAACAGAAATTCCTTTGCGTGCCATGAAAATGTGAGATTATTATCATATCCGGCGAAAATTGAAAGAAACTGAGCACGACAAGAGCGTTACGTTAAAAATTTAATTTGTTTTGTCTCGGATGACAAGGCGCGCAATTTGAGTTGGTTTTATTTTGCTGTACACACGCATCGCTTTCAAGCAGCGAACCATACACGGTCGGTCGAACAAGGGAAAAGTTGCGGATTTTCAACAATGATCATCGTTAACGCGTTCCAAACTATTTTCAATAATTCCAAACTATTTTTTTTTCTGCAAAAATTTAAAAAAATAACAAAAAGTGCGAAGATTTCATTTTAGCAAATCGAAATACTATTTTTTGGCAGAGACTCTGCAAAAAAACAACATTTTTGTCTAAACGAGACACCATTCTGAAATTATTAATGCTAAAGTGAAAATTTGCAGTATCCATATGCTTACATGACTTAAACTGGATTCAGATTATCACTCATATAATATAAATAGACCAACCATTGTCAGATATAAATATAATTCGGTGTCTGAATTTCAGACACCGAAAACGGTTTGAGTTTGTCAAAATCATATATAAATACCAACCATGCAGACTGAGATAAATTTGGGTGTCTGAATTTCAGACACCGAAAACGGTTTGAGTTTGTCAAAATCATATATAAATACCAACCATGCAGACTGAGATAAATTTGGGTGTCTGAATTTCAGACACCGTAAACGGTTTGAGTTTGTCAAAATCATATATAAATACCAACCATGCAGACTGAGATAAATTTGGGTGTCTGAATTTCAGACACCGAAAACGGTTTGAGTTTGCCAAAACAATCATATATAATACCACCTAGAGATAGGTAGAGTGTAGCTGAATTTCAGACACCGAAGTCGGTTTGAGCTTTTCAAAATATATTTTGAGATATATTTTAAGTAGGCTACTAGCTGAATTTCAGACAGCGAAACCAACCAGATAAATTAGCTATAGCAGAATTGCACACAACGAAATCGGTTCGAGTTTGTCAAAATTTTAATATAATATTAACCAACCATTATATTCTGTATAATATTCAGACATGCAATATAAGTGTCGTGTCTGGCCTTTCCTGCTTTGCCATCTTTTAAGATCGCTTATCTTGCAAAGGAAAATAGAAAACATTTTGTGAAATAGCTAAGCGGCAAGGTTGTCGTTTGTGTCGTGGTGTAGTTGAATATTCACACTAAATAATTCTGACTAGCCATGCTTTTGCTATGTACAGTGGCTATAACAATAATGAACTAGAAAAAATATGAATAAGGTGTCGACGCGTTGAAAATAAACTTAACCCAGAGATAATTTGCTATGTAGTTAAATGAAGTGTAATGCATTTGAAGGTCTTGAAGAGCCTATATATATACACACTCCACAACGTAGTACGTACGAATCAAAATTGATATAAAATCAGTACAATTCAAGTTTTAAGAGACAACGCTCCTGTATATGATTCAGTCAGAGTTTTGTTGGCAGTCAAGATCTATTAAAGTAATAATAGAGCTAATAATAAGCTGGTATACATTGTAAATAAGCAAATAAGTGCGGTACACTGGTTGTAATTAATATCAGTGCAAACCGCAAATGATCTGCAGTTGTCAGTTACGTAATGGTTTAGCGAATTGCGCGTATTAATATATTCGCAACATATGCATGAATATAAAATTACAATTTCATAATTCTCACAATACACAATTTATGATAAATAGAACTATGATTTACCTGGTGGCGCGCTTCATCTTACTGGCGAATCTCAATTCATATCCCATAGCTCTCTGTCTGATTTAGTCTTTCTCTTGTATCGACAACATAAATTTGCAAAATAGTATAACGACCAGTCTGGCCATACTTTGAAATTTGAACTCACCGCGTTGAAACAACTCAGAGGAGGTTGTCGTCAAACATATGTTCTGTTGTCAATTGTTACTTCCTGATTGGTTGAGCTTGATTCATAATCTTAATTTGAATTCTGAGTTTCCATGCGTGTGTGTCCATATTCCAAAGTCTAGTCCGGTAGAATATAAACAGAACTGGTAATGGAAATCGATTCAACCATTATATCGATGGCACACAACGGTCATAACGATATAGTGAAGAACTTACGGTTA